AAGCAATGGCAGCTGCACACAAAACTAAATCTGCAGATCTTCAAAAGAAAAACCATCTCTTTGCTTGAAGAATATTTCAGTGTTCGAATTCTCGATGAAGCGCTACAGTGTGTAGGAACTAAAACCCCAGCGTATTATCCTAGGGTTGTTAGAGAAGCCATTGCCCTTGCTCTGGAAAAGAACCCTCCATTGTGGAACCAGTCATAAAGCTTCTCGAGTTCTTGCAGGTAAGAGTCTGACGACCAGAGACATAGGAACCGGGTGTCTTCTATACGGCTCGCTGTTAGATGATATTTGCATAGATGTACCAAAAGCACCAAATAACTTGGTAAGGTGGTTGGAAAGTTGGTTGCAGCTCGAAGTTTGGACTTCAGGGTTGTAAAGGAAGTTCTGAAGAAGGTGGAAGATGATTCTTTCCGGAAAACAATCTTCGATGCGCTATGGGGAGCATTGGTTCCAGCCCTTCTGGGGAAGAACTGTTGGGGGCCCAGGAGCTGAAATTCAGGCCTGTGAAAGTTTACTCGCTTGATTCAAATTGGAGCCCTTTAGGCAGAGAAGTTGTCAAGTTATCCTATAACCAGGGTCACAACAGTTAGCATACTTCCTATATTTCCCAATTTTGTCCTCTTTACGTTACATTTTTTTATCAATGGACCAGGAGCAGCCTTAATTTAATTGAGTTGTATATTTTTTATTTTTTTATTTTTTTTTCAAGTGAGAAACATAATGGTTGTATTCCTAGTTGCTATCAGTTTATTCCTACCTGGGATGCTCGAGAAGAATAGGATCATTGTGATCTTGTTATTACATTATATTCTGGATTCATGTGTACCATTTTTTATCACCTGGCCACTATGGAAGAGCCCAATTGGATAATGAACTTTGTCTTTAGCTTCTTTAGTTCTTATCACTATCACCTTATCCTCTCAGGATGTTGATGGCTTTTATACTTAATTTTTAGTTACATCTCGCATAATCTGAACTGTTTTGCTTCATTGATTTGTGTTTTGAAATGTCTCTCTTAGCCTGCAACACATTCGTAAGTCAACCTCATCTGATTTGAGTTACTGGAATAAGCTTGTTAAGAATAATTACGCAAGGAAGTGCAGAACAAGCTATTCTGACATATATAATATGCAAGAACTGGGAATACATGCCGATAACTATTCTTTTCCAGTTTTATTGAAAGCATGCAGCAGTCTTTGTAGTTCTTCTGTTGGGTTAATGCTTCATGGCCAACTATGAAGCTGGTTTTTGTGGCCATGTCTTTGTGCAAACAGCTCTGTTGGAAACGTTTGGGAGTTTAAGATGTATTATGATGCTTATAAGTGTTTGATAGGATGCCTGAGAAAGATATTGTTGCATGGAACTCAATGTAAGTGCGTTTGCTTCTTGTGGCAGATGATTCTGCTATGAAATTGTTTGATTCAATGCCTTCAAAGGATCTTGCATCTTCAATATCATGATCTGTGGGTTCGCAAGGATGGGGAGGATGCATTCTGCAAGAAATATATTCGATATGTGCCTGTTAAAGATGTTGTTTCATGGAACTCAATGATATTGGCTTTACTAATGCTAAAGAAATGGAAGAGCTTGTGAAATGTTTAAGCAAATGCCAGTTAAAAATGTCATTTCATGGAACACGATAATCACGTATTTACATTGCCAAATCTACTCTGAAGTAGTTGCTTTGTTGATGAATGGAAGCTGGAAACTGCAAACCTGATTATCTTACCACGACTAGTGTTCTATCTGCATGTGCCCATCTCGGATCTCTGGAAACCGGCGCAAGAATACTATATATGCTAAAGAAAAGGGCTTGCATTCAGCCCCCATGTTGCACAGCATTAATAGATATGTATGCCAAGTGTGGTAGCATACAACACGCTTTAGAGGTGTTCTATAAGTCCCAAGTTAAGGATATATCTGTTGGAATGCCATATCTCCGGGCTAGCTCTTCATGGTTATGGGCATCTGCGCTCAAACTCTTTGGCTTAATGAAAGATGGTTGTATAAAGGTTGATGATATTACCTTCATTGGCCTGCTTAGTGCTTGTAGCCATGTGGGCTTGGTGCAAGAGGGTTGTGAACTGTTCAGCTGTATGGAAAAGGAGTTTGGAATTACACCTAAGTTAGAGCATTACGGTTGTATGGTTGATCTTCTGGGACGTGCCGGGTTTCTTGACTGTGCAATGCAACTGATTGAAGCTATGCCATTTGAGCCAACAGAATCCATCTTGGGTGCTTTGCTTAGTGCTTGTGTGATTCATCAGGATCTTGAGACCGGAGATAAAGTAGTAAGGCTGATTTCTTCCAGCTCAATACTTGAGCGACGGGGAGCTTATGATGTTTGCTAACTTATATGCATCCTGCAATCAATGGGAAGAAGCAAACAGATGGAGATACATGATGAATGATACGGGCATTATTAAAACTGCTGGGTGCAGTTTAATAGAGGTAGATGGAAAATATCACAAATTTTTGGCTGGGGCAATAGGGGAAGAATCAAATGTGTTGGCCTAAGTAGATGCCAGTTCAAAGCACAATATCAGGTCAATATTATTTACTTAATATTACTTTTGCTTCAAATTTTATTCACTTGAATTAGCTTCTTGTATTCAGATGCAAATGCTCTAGCTGCAAACAGGTTTGCCTTTTCTTACTTTTCTGATACAATTTTAGATAACTGTTAATAATATTATCCTTACACGAACGCGCCAAGAGCTTTTAGAAGTATTTCTTGGCCCCAAATAGATAATTGATAATATGTAGGTCACCATCACAATTAATGCATAGCTGGATGTTTTAAGATTTGATAACGACCATTCCATTGCAAATCTTGAAAAATAAGTAGCAGTTACTGCTGGTGAACTGTGGTGAACCCATCTTCCCAATCCGTGACAATATTCAACATCAAGCTCAAATTTGATTGGATTGTGTCCAAAACTCTTTGTCAAAGTGTCAATATTCGTTTTAGCAAATGGTTTTAAAGGACTGGAAAGTTTTGGACTTGGTACAACAAATCTGTGGTGTTGATTTTCTCTTCAGATGTTGATCAATCGTAAAAAATGGATCCTTGCTCACATGGCCACACCAAGTCGCCAATAATACCGTACGTGTTTCACATTTGACGGTTGATGATCTCATGTATCAGGAAACAGTCAGCCCACAGATTTGATACAACTTTCTCTTTCTTCTTTTTTTAATTAACTTTGCATAATAGTTCAAAGATTTCATATAACCTATTATACTCCCTGCAATATAATATTGCATTTGCAGATTTGCATTCAGTGACATGATTTGTTTTTATCCATCTGAAATCATATGCCCACGTAGAGAAAGCAAGAGAGACATAACCTTAAAATAACAATGAAAACTAGGTGTATCCTGTGATGCCCTCAAAGGAATGAACTAGTTTATTATATCCCTTTTCATTTATTATACTAAACAAACAGTAGTGGCTGCAAGTAAAAGTTTAAACCCTAACCTACCCATTATATATATAATGTCAAATGTTAAATCTTAAGCTATTAACGTTTCTTTGAAGCTGCTTTGAAGGCTGCCAAAGGATGCCCAGGTGAGTTGATATTATTGTGTACCTGCTACTTTTCACTCTCATTGTTTAGCAAGTCTCCAGCACAGAAGAAAACAAAAACTGTTGATTAAATACTTTCACTCTCTGGACATCAACTTTTTTTTTTATGTTTAATATATCGCACGCTTTATGTGCGTGCCAGCCAAACTTCTTTTAAGTTGGCTCTTTAATTTCATTAAAATATTTTCTTTTCATTATAAATTGATACTGTAAAAATCTATATGCTGCGAAATAAGACTATGGTCAGGTTACTGGAACAGGGTCAAAAGATGAAGACAAATTTGTAGAGTTTGTCTGCATTTTCTTGTGTATATACACAACTTCGGCCGACAGAAATGGTACTGGCAACCTTGACTAGTTCCACTTTTGTAATTAATATTGAATGGGAGGATGAAGGCATTATCTTGTCCCATCTTCAAATGGGAATTTTCAACTCTCAACAGTACATATGTATCTTATATTCTAATTAAGTAATTAATTCTCTTAGACGTTTGAAACATCAAAAATAGAAGACTACCAATAGAAAATAAAGAAACAAGAAGATATATTGAGGATTAGTGATATAGACACGTTTGTCAATGGCTAGAATGGAAGGTGAAACAGAGTTTTGACCTTTCTATGACTGTTTTTCTTATGTAAATACTATGACCAGGTGAAATTTGCCACAAGGCTTGGTATATATTTTTTTCATTGCTTATCTTCTTCATCCATTTTTTAGTAAGATCAAGAGATATCCCAAATTTAGTTGTCTCATCTTTTATCTCTTGTTGCATTAGAAAGTGAAATCTAGCTCCAATTTGTGACACAAACTAGAAATATAGTATTTTTGCCTTAACAGCAAAATGAGCATTATACAGGTGGTAACTTTTAACCTATGAACTGTCCTGAAACAGACATCTTTGAATAGAAAATGTACACCAGTTTGTTAATACACGTCTTAAATACGATACTTTTTTCTCACTCTCGGCATTTGTAGGGACTCATATAACTCATTGTTTGGTGGAAGTGGTGAAACAGTCTTTGATGAAATGACAGGAAGGACTTCACAGGTGGTTTAGAATTGTAAGTCTTTGGAGTTGATCCCTCGCGATGGCGCCTCCCGTTCATAACAGTGTCCTCGTTTCCAGCAGAACTGACTTTTTCATAAAAGACATGTTTTTCATTACCTAATACTTTGAAACATGGTAAAGAAGAATGTTTTTATTTTCTAATTTCAGGATGGCAAGATAATTTCGGTGATTTAACTTATTTACTAGGGTAATTTTTAGTAATTTTAAATATATATTATTATTTTATTTCATTTTGAATGGTTGGACGTCACATTCAGTTACTTATTTTCTAAATTCAATCATGAACTCGACTAAATTTTCTTCCTTTACATAGAAGAGAAGGAGAAGTTACTGTCTGCTACAGAGATAATTAGAGTAAAAAACCTGCGAAATGGCCTTAACTGGTTCAATAGTCTCCTGCTTTTTTCTTAAGATCCTTGTTTCTCTCTCTTGAACTTTCTGTTTATGTACCGTCTCTTTCTTCAATTATTCTTGCTCTTGTCATCGAAATATCTTCTCTTTTCTCTATCAGATTCCCAGAAAGTTCTTTCTTCTGGTGTTTGTTAGTTTTGGGAATTATTCATTTCTTGGTTTTACCCCAAGTTTTTGTTTGTCTCATCGTTTCTGTTCTGTACTGACATCTCAGTTGTGCATGTAAGTGAGTACCCTTTTAAGTTTCTGTTCCACCGTTTCCTGTCTGAATCTTGTGTTTTTGAATTCTACATGTCAATTTCATCTGCGTAATTGGTTCTGAGTTTATATTCATTGATGATTGTTGTTTTTGTTTTTGTGTTTTAATTTAAACTCGAACCTTTCTGTTTTTTATTTCCATATTCTCCTTCATGTAGATCTTGTTTTGATCATTCATAACTTTCTTACTGTCTTCTGGGCTTTCTAGTTTTACTGTTCAAGTTGAGTTTTTGATTAAAAATTTGTTTGTAATGTTTTCTAGTTCTTTAATTGTTACTTTTCTGGATCGTTGCTTTATTTGTTTCAATTTTAAAGTTGTGATCTCAGCTGTTTCAATTTTATTTGATAAAAAGAAATGCCTGTTAACAACCGCTGGGATTCTGAGAAAACAAATGAACTGGAGTTTGAAACCTAAGGTGACTTATTGGATGTCCAATTTATGATTCACAGTTATTGACTTGCTTAATGTTTATTTGGGAGCCTGTTTTGGCTCATCAGGGTCCTATTATTATAGCAAATTTAGATAGATGAGTAAATTTTGTAATTTTCACCTGCCTTTTTGAAACCAAACTGAACATTGAAGTTATGACTATTATGATGTTAGGGACTACTAGTTTTTTAATTAGTTCTTCAGGCTGCATTTAGCTTTCCTGTGGGCTGCAATGTTAGGGTCCTTCTCTTATGTGTTGATTGGGATTTTTTTGTTTGATTTTACACAGAGATGGGTATATATCTCAGCAGTCCCAAGACTGAGAAATTCTCAGAAGATGGTGAAAATGATAGGCTCAGATATGGTTTATCATCCATGCAAGGGTGGCGTGCCACCATGGAAGATGCTGTGAGTTACTATTTAGAATTTGTATTTTTTCTTTTCTTTCACTAATACAATACAATCATTTATATTTCCTGTTAAATTATATAGAAGTTTGAATATTTGATTGCCCGGGGTTTATTTAATGTATACAAGTTGATAGTTATTTATTCTTAAGTGATTCTTTCTCATCATATTCACTTGTCTCTAAAAGCTTATAATTTCCACCACTGTCCTTGCTGGGCAGTTGAAATCAGTGTTTTATTCACAGTTAATCATTGTACAGAACTGGACTGAGTGTGGGCATGACATTATATCTGGCCTTTTATTTTTTCCTTTTTATATTATTTTTTATTTTTACCTCAAATGATTTTTGATGTTCATGTTATTAGTATTAATACTTTTTTAGAATTATAGGTTTATTGTAAGTTCTTCATAATATTAGAGGTGTCTGCTGTTACATACTGACTTATTATTTGTTTTCTTAGCATGCGGCATATCCTGATCTGGATGATTCCACTTCTTTCTTTGGTGTCTATGATGGCCATGGAGGTAAGAGTTGTACCATTCAGGTAGTTTGTATGTATGATAAATGGTCTTTTTGGCTTCTTCACTAGTCTTGACTTATGCTTGTGGATCATTTCAGCTCAAGTTTTATCCTAGTTTTTTATTGTGTTACTTGTATAATTTAATTATGTGTGGCGTGCCAGAACTGTACTGCCTTTCTGGCAGGTTTTTTTTTTTATTTTCCCCTTTCTTTTGCAGTCAATTTGTGACATAACAAGGAGAAAATTTATAGGTTGTAAGCAGTTCATGGTCTCAGAGTTACTAACCAAGATTTTTTTTTTTCAAAAAAAGTATATAGCTATATAGAAATCTCATAATGTGTTTTAATTTATTTTAGAGTAAATTCATTGACCTCTCCTGAAATTTGTGTACAATATAGACAGAACGTGATGTTTGAAAGATTTGTCAAAGGACTTCCCTTGAGATTCTGAAAACTATGTGGTTGCTGATGAAAAACTTGAAAAATGTGGTTTTCCTATATTTCAGTCAAACCTCAGGGAAAGACAGTGAAATTATTAATTTATTTAGTATAGCAAGAAGGGGTACCCTTTTTGATAGTGAATCTTCAAGCTTTTTACCAGCGATGGTCTCTGAAGCTTTTGAACTAGCTGAAGGCTTTAGTTTAGTACATGATGATTTATTTGGGGTATATAGAAAGAAAACTACTTTTAAAAGTTTTCCTTCCCTTACACTGACTCTGCTGGCAAGAGACATTATAATCTAAGTTCATTCTATTTCAGATATTCATCACACCAGTATGTGGCATGAACCTATTTTGCTCATGAACAAATATTCATGTAAAATTTGCATATTTGATTGTAATAACTAGCATTTATTGATACTTGATGCAGGTAAGGTGGTTGCAAAGTTTTGTGCGAAGTTCCTTCACAAACAAGTTCTCAAGCATGAGGTGTATGAAGCTGGAGATATAGGATCTTCTGTTCAGAGAGCATTTTTCAGGTTAACAACATGAGTTTCTTGCTCCATTTCACTTGTCTTTAAAAATTCTTTTAATCTAGTTGTGTGATTCTGAGTGAAAGAGTTGTATCCATTTTGTTCTTGTGGATTTTGTTACATAAATATGACACTGATTTATCATTAATCACTATTGTGAGGTCTTATTGTTTTGTGGAATATTTGTATCTATGATAATTTTATGTTCGTGTTCAGCAAGTTTATTTTGCTTGCGCAGAATGGATGAGATGATGCGTGGACAAAGGGGATGGAGAGAATTAGCTGTTTTGGGAGATAAAATAAATAAGTTTACAGGCATGATAGAAGGATTGATATGGTCTCCAAGAAGTAGTGATGGTAATGATCAACCTGATGATTGGGCTTTTGAGGAGGTATAACTGAAATAATTACATTAAAATTATTCTTTTTATCATGATCTACAGTGAATTGGCCGAACTAACCAAACTTCATATTGATCAGGTGTAGCAATTCTTATGGTAATTCATAATTTTTTTATTGGATTTTTTCTTAATTTTTTTGGTAAGTCATACTTAGTAAGAAATCTATTAGTTTTATACTGCATTATCCGATTCATCAGAATTCATTTATGTTTATCTTTCTTAGTTCCTATAATTTAATCAGAAACCTGTTAATTTTTTTTTTAAGTTACCTTATAGTAAATAGTGGTGAAATTTCTAATAGAGCAAGTTATTATAACTGGCTGCAACTGTTTCATGCATTTTTATTTTTATTTTTTATGGAAAGGAACACCCTCAACTTTTCATCGTCATCATCTTCTGCATGAATCATGACTCATAAATGTGTTGCCAAGATTTTTGTCAAAACTTTCGTCTAATTTTTTGTTTTATTCTGTAAATTAAACTTACCTTAATACTGTATTAGGGTCCTCACTCTGACTTCGCTGGACCAACTTCTGGGAGCACAGCTTGTGTTGCAATTATCAGAAAAAATCAACTCATTGTTGCAAATGCTGGTGATTCTCGCTGTGTGATATCTAGAAAGGGACAGGTAATTTTCAATTGAGTGAAATATGTTTTAGGTATATTTCAGTTCAGATTATATGAAAGCAAGTTATTTTTGTATTATTTTTAATTGGATAGTGAAACTATCTCATTGTTGTTGCTTCTGCATCATGTGTAGTTATTGTTCTTGCCCAAACTTGATCAGTAATTGTTAGACTGGTCATGGTGCTTAGATTTTGGGCATTGGACATATGTATTTTCATAGATTTTTTCCCCTAGGTTCTGATTGAAAATCGTGTTAATGGTTTTTAATATATCTTATTATATGCAGGCTTATAATCTCTCAAGAGATCACAAACCTGATCTTGAAGCTGAAAAAGAAAGGATATTAAAAGCCGGTGGATTTATACATGCTGGACGAGTGAATGGTAGTTTGAATCTTGCAAGAGCTATAGGTACTTCACTTTCCTACATTTAACTCTAGTTAAATAGTTCTTCTATTTTTGCAACAACATGTTTGGTAGCATGAGCAGTTGCTCATTTCTTGCCTGGGATTTCTCACCTTATCTTAAGTTGTAATTTGAGAAGTTATGGAGTTGAATCTTGGGCTTTCCTAAAGAAGGCATTCTGATTGCATTGAGCACAAGGCTAGTGCCATAATCTTTCAGTTTAGAAGTAAATTTGACTCATTCATATATGTAGGCATGTTAAGTGATACCAAGCACATATGTGCACAGATGAGTAGGTTTGTCTTGTAGTTTCAGTTCTTCAAACTGTTCTGCTGCAATTGCAGGTGACATGGAATTTAAGCAAAATAAATTTTTGCCAGCTGAAAAGCAGATTGTTACTGCCAATCCAGACATAAACACTGTAAATACTCTCTTCTTTGTGCAATATTTACTATTTTCTCAATTGATACATATATACCTTGCCCGCCCGCGCGCCCCCCCCCCCCCCCCCCCCTCCTCTTTTTTTTTTAATATTATTATAAATCAGTTTAAAATAAAAAGAAAAAGCACCAAAAAAAAAAAAAAAAAATCTGGAAGATTGGTTCCACTTTAGATATTTGAGACTACCTCTAATTTCCCAGAAACTCCCTTGTTTGACCGTAGGCATTTATTTGTTTCATTTTGTGTTCTCTTTTAGGTTGAGCTGTGTGATGATGATGATTTCATTGTGCTAGCATGTGATGGAATCTGGTAAGCATCTTACGTCTTTCCAATTTAGTTTAAGAGTAGAAGATATTTGCGTGTTAAGTAATCATGTTATCTCATTTCTACGAGAGAGACAAAACAGGGTAACTGTAACCTGCCTGATTTAAAAAAGGTTCCAGAGAAATGAAGCCATCCCCTTAATTTTGTAGTTATCGGACATGTTCACAGACTAAAATGCTGATGTTCAACATGTTACAACGTTTCGATAAATTGTTTAACTTCAAAATGAACTTGGTAGGGTTATTGAACCCCGTGTATCAAAATAACCATAGAAATCTATTGAAAAGTTACAAATATTTAATGATACTGTTCACTTCTGAAGAATGTGTACAACATGGGAAGAAATAGACAAGTTTTGTGCAGTAAGGAAGGTTGTGTTGAGGTTGAATTCAGTTTTGAAATGATGTTTCTGTTCATTGTCTCAGGGATTGCATGTCAAGCCAGCAATTAGTGGATTTTATTCATGAACAACTACATTCGGTGAGAGTCTGAGCTGAGATGCTTTTGATTTGAACTTCACATAAAGAATTGTCTGTACGAAATGTCTGAATTATGCAGCAATGACTCTTCATTTTACCTCACCCTATTTAGCACTAAACAATTTAAAACATACAGGAAAGCAAGCTTTCTGTGGTGTGCGAGAGGGTGCTCGATAGGTGCTTGGCGCCATCAACAGCAGGCGGCGAGGGATGTGACAATATGACTATGATCATAGTGCAGTTCAAGAAACCCATCCAGGCGGCGTCATCCGGCAGTGACCAATCCTCACAATCCAGATTAACTGACACTGATTCGAAATCAGAAGAAAGTTGAATCAAAAGCAGCTGCCATTGTATCACAATGTCATATTGTATTGGGCGGCCCCCTCCGATTGGAAGATACAAGAATCCTTCCTTTGCTTGAAAATCAGAGATCAAATATGTGTACTTGTAGATGGTCCACCACAAAAAACGAAAAAAAGATTTAATGAAATGTTAAGAAAATTCATTGCTCATGCTGGTGTGTGTTTATCTTTGACGAATGACAATACTACAACATTACAAACTTCAAGAGCTTGTACAGTTTTTACCAGTTATTGGAACTGCATCTAATATTAGCAGTCTCACATTTTCTGCCAATCAATGTTTCTACCATATTTTATTAAAGTTTTCCTTCTCTGCTCTGCTGGACGCCAACCAGCTAATCAGTGGTTATAGCCTTATAGGCGAAGAAAGTGAACACTTTTCGCTTGGTTACTTTATTTTGATATTTGTAGAAGGATTTCTAATATTTTTAGGGTTTTATGATATTTTACAGGGGTTTTGGTAATTTCAGGGGAGGTTTTTAATAATTATGGATAATTGTTGGATCGTTTTTCACTTAAAAATTACTCAGGGATAGTAAAATGAGTAAACCCTGCTAAATTTTGAAATTCTAAATTTCTTCAAAGAAAGAAATAAATAGTAATCCAATAGCTGGAGAAACTAAATTTGGACAAATTACATCATATTAGAAAAAACTTGACAAAATTATACCAGTTGCTCAATACGGGAATAGCTATAACCTGAACCACAACCAGAGAGAAATGAGGAACAAATTCCTATACGAGATTGGCTTTAAACCCATCAATGGAGAACCAATAACAGGAAAACTAAAACCGATGTAAAGTAAATATACAAGAAAATTCATTGCTTGTTTTGCCGTGAAGAATACTACTCATCCCAGATATTCACTCCAAATTTCAGTTCTCAAATCATACAGCTATTGTCATATTATTCAATGTATCATTACTTTATTTACATACTAACACCACATATGATAACACAAAAGGATATGAGATCTGGAATAAGTTTTGGGGGGAATAGTATTATTAATATTATTTCCAACACAATCTTGCATAAAATAAGATAATATAATTGTCAAATGCCAACGTTGTGATTGTCCTTGTGCAAAACGGTAGCATTATTACACTCAATCAGAGAATTGATTGATTGAGTGATTTTGGATGATTGGTGTAATCTTAGTGATTAGCCACAGTTATCCTCTGTCATACTGAATGTGATAAAGTAATGTCGTCGGTAAAAATCTTCTCTTATATTCCTGAAACATAGAAAAACAGATTGTGGTAGCAACAATGAGAAATTATGTTTCCAGTTGTTACCATACTTATAATTGGCTTCTTGTTGCTTTCTTTTCCAGACGGTTAGTTCAGTTATCCCATATATGTTTCTTTTTCAGATTATGTACTTCACTTTGGAAAACAAATTGCTTCTTTTGATTTAATGTCAGAATTCACCCACTAGCAAATATTTGCATGCATGAAAAATATTAAAGTTTTGTTTTCTGTTAAACTACTTTTATCAATCTTATTATATTCAATTGATCATCCTCTTTTCTTTGAAGTGTTTCAGGTCCTAAATATGGACAGATTTCAGAAGATTTCTCTGCAGAAAACACAACAGTTTCCATCTCACCTCGCAAAATTCTTAATCATGGTAATAATGAAAGGAAAAGTCTACCATACATCAAATATATAGCTTCAAGATCGTCAATGTATATCATGTATGCATTATATTACACATTTCTTGTTTGATGCATAAATATTGTTGCTTTGATTGAACGCCACAATCCACATGGCGAAATGAACATGCAGGAAGTAGAGCAGATAGAGTGTGTTCAAAGAAGAATATAACGATCATACAGAGTATGACAGGTCGTCGACCTAGTGGGATACCAATTTATTCAGTAGGGATAGCCAACTTGTGTGCTGCTGGGTGCCCTATTGGCAATATTCATCTAAGCTGCGGATTCTTCGATTTGAATCAAAATAACATGCCTTCCAGGAGCCAAATATTACTGTGATAATAGCATTTTTTTGACCTTTTAACTGGTCCCTGGAAAATGTTTTCTACAGAATAGATGGTGTAATATTTAATAATTATAATTGAACAGTTGTAGCTTGCTTTACTAGACTTCTCCAATTATTGTCACAACGAAAAAGGAATTTTGTAAGTGTACCCCGTGGCAATCCATGGCAAGCAAAAAAAAAAAAGAGCAGATAGTTTGCTAGAGTGTTCCATTACCAATATCCATCTCACTTGTGGTGTATTCAGCCGCAACACTCATCAATCCTAGCACATTCAAGCGGATGCAAAACCTTTGCCTGCTGGCCAAACCATATATCCTTTATAGTTTTTAACACCACCAACTCCAATTATCTCCATCCATTATCTTCTAACTGTGCAAAATGGAATGGAATGAGGTAGCCAGAACCATAAACAGAGACCATATTTCAAAAGCATTTGATTTGACACACCGATAAGAAGCCAATAAAGAACATAAATTATGTTTTGTTTCCCAGTCATAATTTCAGGTTAAGTAATGCTATGTATCTCAAGTTTTACATCCCAGGTGATGTATCATTATTTTATAGGTGCCTGTGGATGCAAAACTTAGATGTATAGAACTATTTCATACAGGTTTTCCCAATCAATTAAATATAAAACACACAAATATAGGAGAGAAGCAAAAATATTGACCTGGTCAATGAAAATATCACTATATTCATATGAGCTAACTTATCAAACTTTTCTGTAGGAGTTGAAGCTGAGAAAAAAAAATAATAATGATAAATAAATCAGAAAACACTGTATAAAGATGAATGATCAACTATAATAATGCCACTTTTTCCTTGCACAAAGATTTTGTATTTTCTCTGTAATTGTATATTAGAAAATTAGACCCTCAAAGCAACCTGATCTTGCCATGAAATTTTCTTCTTCCCAACTCTCTTCTCATTGATCATCCAATTCTTTCGCTTCTCCTCTACTCTCAATGGATCCAAAACAACCTCTTCTTTCCTTCCCCTGTAACAATCTTCATCACCCTGAGAAATAAAATTAGATATTAACACAAATACAGCCAATAAAGAGCATAGTGAATATGATATGAATTCTAAATCCCAAATTGTTACACTTCATTACCAAATTTTGGTTTAAATTAAGAATAGGAGGTGAGTTCTTCACAACATTTTCACTAACACCAAAGCTCCTATTTTCAGCAAGCAATTTGCTTTGTGAATGTGAATTTAGTGGTCCAACAGGATTTTCCTCAGTTTCAAGTTCAGGAGATTGTTTCTTCAGACGGTTATGCCTCTGTCTCAAGAACCTACAACAAAAATACCAAACCTATTAGACTTTATTTGGATTTTACTTTCTAAAACAATGAATATCAAGCAACTATAAGGAAACAAAGATCATACCGAACTTCAGCCAAAAGAATTTCTCTCTTCTGCTTTGCTATCTTCAACTTTTTCTTCTTAGAAACAAATTCCTATATAAGATAGGCAAGATCAAATAAAATAAATTATAATTAAAACCAAAACAAGTAAACATATAGAAACCATCAAAGCCCTCAACCTTGTTCTAATGCCCCATATGGAACTGAAGTTAAGGAGGAATATAACATCACTGAACTTTTCAACTTAACATTTTGATTTCCACAAATCAAAAGCTTAATGCAATCATTTGGCTCAATATTTTTACAATGTTGAAACAAAAACATAAAACTGAAAATTCATACTCTATTTAGACTATTTTCCCTGTACCATACAGGAAATAACACAAGCAAAGTATCCATAAAAATTAATAGGATATTTCAAATCACATACAATCATAGGAAATCGAAACAAACCAAAATAAGATTTTATATTAAACAAAGACTAACCTTTTGAACTTCTAAATACTCCTGCAGTAGCCTCTGTTGTTTGAACCGAGCACCAGCTTCTTCATCAACCAAATATGGTTGATGATGAGAATTCCCAGCAACCCTTTTCATCTTTTTCATCAAAATTGAATTTTGAGACAAAAACTTGAAAATTAAACAACCACCACCTATTCCCAGATCAAAAGATGAAACTTTTGCATAAAGAATATGAAAAGTCTATTAATCGCCTTCCCAAAATTGCTTCTTTTGAAAAAGAATTTGTATTAAAAAAGAAAAGAACGCAAACCCACTTCAAAAACAGAGATCGAAAGTAATTAGATTGAGAAAGAAATAGAAGAAACAAAACCGAATTAAAGGAGGAGATAAAGTTAGAAAGAGGAGAAAAAAGGTTAAAGAGAGAGAAATAAAAAAGGTAAGAAAATATATAGTGAGGGAAGGTTCTGCGAAAGATGTGGTGGTGTTTTGTTGTTAAATTTCTCTGAAACAGGTAGAATGTAAAGGTAAGAAGGCCAAAGGGCCCATGAAGAACGGAGAGAGAGAGTCGTGAAGAAAGAGACATTGAAGAAGGGAATAATCAGAAAGGGTATTTAAGGAAATACGAAATAGTTGTTGTTGGTGAATGGTGATGTTGTTTTGGAAAACAGAGAGGTGTGGTTGGAGGAGAAATGAAGACACACAAGAAAGAGTGAATGTCTTGTGTCTATCCATCCATCCATCTTTCTTTGCCTTCTCTCATTTGTTTTTGTTTTACTGAATATTATGGTACAGCTGAGCTGGGCCATTATTGGCTTAGAGAAAGAGGGAGAAAGAGATAAAGATGGTGCAGAATTCAGAAAAGGCAGGAGAAAAATGGCTACTGTTTTCTGTTTTGTTGCTAAGAAAGAACCTTGGCATTAGCCTTAAAATGGTGGATATTTTTTATAGTTTGGCAACAAGACTCCCTCCAATTACCAAAATACCCTTTTATGTATTTGGAATTCAAACCTACTACACTTGACATTTTGGCAATTTCCCAGCCAGCTTTTACCATTGTGTATTAGTATTGCCTTTTTTCACTGTTATCATATTAATTTTCTCATTAACAAGAAGTTAATGAAAGCATGTGGAACTTAATTCAACCCAAATCAAGTTGAGATTTTGAACCCTTTAACCCATTGAGTTGAAGTAAATTTGGCAAAATATTAATAGAAAATGTTAATTCTTACATATCTCCACTTACAAAATCAATGTATTACTGCTACATCACAGGAAAACAACAAGGTATAATAGCATCAGAAGTACTTAACAATTAACGAATTCACTTGTATTAACATTACACAAACATACAAAATGCACACGGCTAGTAAATATTTACAGTTTCTTATGGACAGTGGCTTACTGTCTTTGCCTGAATGTAAGCACAAAGTTGGCTGAATCTGCTGTGGCAAGGATAGATCCTGAACTGCTAAAGTATTAGCTTAGTTGCTGCGGCAGTTTTGATGTCAATAATATTTACAACTACTGGCTCTCTGAGGATCCCAGCTCCGTCAAGATTGATTAGGAAGCTGAGCAAATGTTCCGGGGTTGGGGCTACATCCTCCAACCATCATCTTCTTGTAGACTGCATAGGCAGAGTCGGGATTTCCTGACTTACTACACCCTCGAATGAGAGCATTATATGTGAACACATTAGGTTCAAGACCTACGTGTTGCAGTTCTTCATACAATTTCCCTGCTTCCTCCACCATTCCAACACTGCCAAGACTGAGTATCAAGGAATTGTAAGTGTAAAGATCAGGACTAATGCCTCTATTCTGCATTTCATCAAAGAGAGAGAGAGCTTCTTCGATCCTCCCCGATCTTCCAAGCCCGCTGATCATAAAGTTGTATGAAAATGAGTCAGGATCAAGGCCACTGAGCTTTAGTTCCTCAAAATAGTGCAGAGCATCATCCACTCTACCTGATATGCAAAGGCAATCAACAAGAACAGTGTAGGACTTCAAGTCTGGTCTTATTCCCTCTTTAACCATCTGTTTAAACAACTCACAAGCTGTTTCAACATCACCTATTTTCCCAAATCCATTTATAAGAATGTTATACACTGCACAGTTAGGCTTGCATCCATAGTCTACCATCTCCTTGAACAACTTTTTTGCTTCTTCCAATCTTCCTGACTTTGAAAGTCCATCTATAAGAGGGCCATATGTACATGGTGTGGGAGTGAAATCACTACTTACGAGATCATAATATAAATCCATAGCTTTATCCACACTATTAGATTTCACAAGACCCGATATAACAATATTGTGAGTTACGGTGTTAGGCTTGCACCTCCTAGAAGGCATCTCTTCATACAACTTAAAAAGTTCATTGATTTCCCCAGACTTCCCATAAGCATCAAGTAACAAGTTGTAGGTAGAAACGTCAGGGGCACAACCAGCGTCTTTCATCTCCTTGAAAAGATTCACTGCTATTTCAGGGGCATGGACTTCAAGAAGCCCATTAATCAAATAATTATATGTTTCTAGTGTTGGCATAACTCCCAGATTTTTGGTGAACTTCACAAATACATCTTTAGCAACAAGGGATTTCTTCTGCCAACACAAACTCTTTATTATAGGTACCAGTGCAGAGTCATTCTGGCAAAGCCTGCTGAAAACCAATTTTTCAGCAAATAAAACGGCTTTGTCTGTTCCAGCTGCAGTCAAGATCCCTCCGATCAAATCTTTCCAAAAATTACTTCCAGTGTGAATCCCAACCTGATAAACGAAATGCTCAGTGATTTTTAGAGCATCCTCAATCCGCCCATCCTTCACAACACCAGGAATAAGGGTAAACAAAGTTATATAATCCGGGTAGAGCCATTTCTTCATCTGATGGAAGAACCATATGGCATCATTAACTCTTTGTTCTTTCACTAAACCATAAATGATAGTATTGTAAGTCAGAACATCAGGGCTACAACTCATTGCTGTCATTTTACAAAGTGTTTTCAAGGCGAGATCAACCTCATCATTCTTGCAGAGGCAGTCCAGAAGTGTGTTGAAAGTTATTGTATCGGGAAAACAGCCATGATCCACCATACCATCAAACAATTCAATAGCCTTTTGGACTTTACCCTCTTTCCCTAGTCCAGCGAGTAGTGTATTATAAGTCACAACTGAAGGAGCAAGCTTCATATCCTTCATTCTACAAAACATTTGCCATGCCTCACCCACTCGGTCAGCCTTGTAAAGTGAATCAATCAATGAATTAATTACAATTACATCAATGTCACATCCATTTTCCATCATCTCAGAGAGTAACTTAATGGCTTCATCTACTTGCCCCACCTTACTATAGCACTTCATCATCATGTTATAGGTTACTGAATCTGGAGCAAGTCCACTGTGCTTAAGCCAGTTGAACATGGTTTTAGCTTCTCCAAGCCTACCAGCTTCAGCAAGACTATACAAAGATGCATTGCAAGCAACAATATTTGGAACAATACCTCTACTTTTCATCTTCTCAAAAGTCTCAAGAGCTTTGCCAGGATCAGCAGACTTTCCATAATAGTCGATGAAAAGGATGTACGTATAAGCAGTAGGTCGGACACCAAGAGGTTCCATATTACTGAAAAGTTCTAATGCCTCTTCTAACCTGTGCAGCCTCAAAAGTCCACTAATCAAAGTGTTGTAAGTATGAAGATTTGGCAAGACCCCTTCCTTTTTCATGGCATCTAACATACCAAAGGCTTTGTCAACATCCCCAGCTTTGCATAAAGCATCCACAAGTATGGTGAAAGTAACTACATCTGGAGCATAACCATCAGCTTCCATTTGACTCCAAAATTCTTTTACTGCATCCATGTCACCACAATAACTGAACTTGTCCAACAAAGTAATGTAGGTTACTCGATCAGGCTTGTGACTGCTAGCTTTCATCTTCAAGAAAATTTCCTTAGCCTGATCAAGTCTCTCAGCATTACAAAGGGCATCAATCAGAACAGTATAAGTTACAACATCAGGTCCACATCCCTCTTCATCCATTCTCTTCAAGATCCCATATGCCTCATCAATTTTCCCAGCCCTCCCAAGAATTCTAATGCATATGGTAAATGTGTAAATATTAGGTCGCAATCCCAAGCTCTCCATCTCTTCTAATAAATGCATTACTGTTTCAATATCCCTCCTCTTCCCTGACGCCACCATGAGAGCAGAATAAGTCTTCAGACTAGGCTTAATACCTTCTGAGACCATCCTTCTATACACCACCAAAGCCTCCCTAAAAAACCCAGATTGAAGTATCAAATGGATCAATCCGTTGTACGAGTAAGCATTCAAAATAATCCCAGTTTCCCTCATCTTTTCAAGTGCCAATGGTGCAAGTCGAATACCACCCTTTATACAAAGACCCTTAAATATGGTCAAATAAGTACCCAAATCCCTAATTATGATTTGCTTTTGCATCAAATCAAATACAACAGCCATATCTTCAATTCTGCCATGAATCCTTAAAACTTCAAGCATGTAATTACACGTTTCAGTAGTGTGAACAACATAGGGCAACTCCGCCAATGACTTAAAATACGAAAGAGCAGAATTCAGGTCTGAAAACGACTTCAACTCCCCTATAACTCCCTCAGAGGTTAACCTATTCCTTGGCTTCCCCTTCACAACCGTCACCTGATTCAAGCTTTTTGTTACATAACCACAAAAACCCACTTGTTTCTTCTTATGTTTTTTCCAATTTACCATAGACCCACAAGGCAAAATCTTCAAATTCCTAACTTTTGGTCCTCCTAACGAACCGTTTTCATGGTTTAAACCAGATAACCTACTATAAGTAAAAGCAAAGCTATTATAACTGATACTACTACAGCAAGTGCTTGAATAGCCTAGCATCAACAAAGCCATAGAAGAGAAATTATCAATAAAACAATGAACTTTAAGCAACTAGATTTAAGTTATCAGAAAGAGAATGAGTTTTGCAGAACTGTTGTTTCTGGAATTGCTTGTGAGAGAAGCAGATATTGTAGCAGGAAAACAGATAGATGGGCTTTTTACGTACCTACTGGTGGTGCTTGAGAAAGACAAGATTGGCTATGGCAAGGAGCTGTTAAACATTTGAATACTGAAAGGTTTATCAGTTTACTGAAGCTCCATAGCCACAGACTCTGGTGTCTGTTATTAAAATTGCTTTTTGGATTTTGATATTTTTGTTTGAGATTTTTTACCAAATAGTTTTTTTTTTTTTTATGAGATATTTTTGTCTTTTTATATTTTATAATTACATATCACACAAAATGGTACTTCACCCGGTCATTATATAAACCTCTTTCTCTTGAAACCTCAAAAGCCCTAACAACTACAGAAGCGACCGTATAAACATACAAACTCAAAAGTCTTTTCGTGCTTTCAATCCTAAACTCCAACCGTGTGAAATACTCAATCTTCGTCTCTGAACACAGAGTGAAAGTAGGAAAGATCCCAAAACAGTGGTTACAAACGACAACTCAACAATGGAAGAAAGCAGAGTGATACCAGACTCGGTTATGGATTCGGTGAAGAAAACGTCTTTTAATGTGGAACAAGTGAGAACCCATTTGCTTCAACTCCTGTCTCTATCTGACCCAGATGTCCTGGCTGAGATGCCCCCACTCGAACGGGCTCAGTTGCTCTTCTTGCTCGCTAAAGCCACCACCATCCTCTACACTTGTAATTTTCATATACTTTACTCTTATAAAGTTCTCTTTTTTTTTTTTATCATTAATTTTGTGCAATGTGTTTAGTTGCAATTCTGTATTTTGCAGTGAGGTTGAGATGCAGTGGAGTTCACCCAGATGATCATTCTGTTAAATCCGAGCTTGTATGTATTCTTATATTTCTTGTTTTAATTAAAACGATATGTTTCAATTTATTCTTTGTAAATTGAGGTTTTGGCAATAAATTTGTGGTTCATATATGTGGGAAAGTGGAACTTAAATTTTTGAACTTTTTGGTTTTAACTTTTGAATAAATGAATTGGGTATTTCTGCTATAGGATTTTTGTGTTGAATCTTGCCTCATTAATATGATATATCCTGATTTTAAAATCTACAGGAGAGAGTAAGCTTGTATCAGGACAAACTTACCCGGTTCATAGATTTAAGTAAAGGTACATCTTTTTTATCTTTATGAACATTCTTGGAGCATTCAGGGTCTTAGATTTCAGCTCTAATGTGTTTCTTATATATTAAAGGCAAGATGATAGCATTTTGTTCTATTATTTGCTTAGGATTGCGGTTTACTGGTTTAATTGGTGATACTTTTTGTGTTATTATTATTAACAACATGAGCGTGAATTTGTTCTTGAAGCACCATTGCGACCTTCTACTACCTTAAATTATCAGGCAGCGACCCGTTTCATTGAGCATTCTTTGCCTGATCTGACCCCAGGTAGGTGATTGAAAACTTTCTTGTTATCTGTTCTATAACTATTGGGAGTATTTTAATTCAAGAATTTTTCCTCTCATGCAGAACAGAGGAAAAACATGAAGGATATCAGTAGAGGAGAAGGTACTAGGATCAAATATACAGAGAGAAGTGTCCAAAAGAAGAGGAAATATCAATCATCTGAAACAAAAAATGTTCAGGCTGCTGCCAAGGAATTTCTTGAGAAAGCAGCCCGTGAGCTTCTTGGCGATAGTAAAGATGGTCTTCAGGGACCTCTACAAGCTGATGTCCCTGATGGAGATGAAAACCCAATGGGGTGATTCCCCCATATTATCCTGGTAGATACTATTCAGTGTTTTTGCGCTGTATAGGTTTCATTGTTCTTCTAGTAGTCCTCAGTTGATATTTTTCCTTTTAATGTGTTAGATCCGTTATGAAGTGATCATGTTTTTGTGAAGTTAAATGAAGAATGTTTCTTTTAAAAAGACAAGTGCTGGCTCCTAAGTTCAAAAAGACAAAAAGTTTTCTGATAGAGATTTTGTAGAATTAAGTTAACTATCAAACTTAGAGATATTGTTGCATTCTGAAAATTATGATATGTGAATTTTATGGTGTTTTACAGGTTTTGCAGAGACTATGGTGTTTTACAGGTTTTGCACAGACATGTTATGGTGTTTTACAGGTTTTGGAATCATAAAATGCCACCAACTCTTCTCTCTTCCTTCACTTGACATTTGGAAAATAATAAATTTACTGCTGGTCTTGAGAACTGGGTGACTTGACATTTGGTCAAGGAGATGATGTTATTTTTTGAATATCGACATAGTGGAGCTGCTCTGTTTAATAATTAGAGCATCTTTTCATGTAACTCACAACGACCGAGACTGCAAGGGAGTGAGAACTTGGATTCATAATGGAAATTTGATTTTGTGCTGTAACTGTAGAAAATAAATAACAGATAAAAAGAAAAAGATTGGCACTCTGAATTTAATATATTACTATAAATCTCAGCCAAGGACTAACATCATATAACCAAGAAAAAAAAAATGAATGAAATAATTTGATTCCCCCAAACAAATAAACAAAACTCTCCTAATCTGTTCAACATCGAAGCCGGCCATTTCAATTAAAACAACCCCCAAGCTAGAACAGCTAATACAACCAACAAACCACCCTTCAAGCTTGAAGCACCGCTTGTTGGAGCAACAGCCGGACCACCCTCAAACTCCATTGGAGAAGGTGCTGGAGAAATGAGCCTGTGCCTTGTAGACAGAACCACCACAACCAACTTCTCACCTTTCTCACAGTTCCCCTTCACTCCACTGATGAAGTAGAAGGGCCCAGATCGGTCCAGCGCCACCTTGGTGTTTCCATCCTTGTGTTCTGCAATTGGGTTTGTAGTGTTGCAGTTAACATAAGCTTCCTTGTTCACTTGCAACACCGAGTCTTTCTGAGCATCATATTTCCACACTGTAAAAAGAGACATGTCAATGGGTCATTTTCTAAACAAATTAATAGTCAATATTCACACATGCAGCAAGAAAGAAGTAGTGATTACCAAGAGAATCTCCGATTCGGAAACGGGAACTCTCAGCCCAGTGATTAAGAGAATCCGATTCTGAAGAAGGGACTTTCCATGCATCTGTTTTGCCACCAACCACGATATCTTTAGCTTCACAGAAGCTGAGGAGAAGAAGTGTGAGCATCATAGAAGACGCTAGAGTGGTTGAAAAAGAAGCCATGGAACTGAGAGAGAAGAAGCTTGAAATTGGTGGATGTATAAGTCTGAAGATTTTGGGAGAAAGCGAGAGTGAGATGATTTTTTACAAGGGCTCGTTGTGTTGAATTTATAGAGGAGAAAAGAGAGAAGTAGCCGTTACCATGTCTGGACAGGACAGGCCTGAGTGGGCTTCTGGGCTGTGTGCGTTACCAAGGCGGTGGGTTATGTACGTTACCAAGGAGGTAACGGTTACTTTTCCTGAAAGGCGATGATGTCTCATCTAACGGTCGAGAGAAAAGTGAACTTAAAAAAAAAACAAAAACAAAAAAAATCATTAATTCTATATTCCAAGTACGTTACATTAAAGTTTTGGATTAAGCTGAGGCGTTTTGTGGCATATTATTACTGTTACTAATCGGTTACATGTTTAATGCCCACCGAAAAACGATAAATTCATACGGTGATAACACTAAGCATAACTCAAAACACTTGTCCTTGTGCAACGCCATGCAACTGCTACGTGTAGAGAAACGTGGCAAAACAGCTTCACCCACACAGACAGATTTAACCCCCCATGGCATCGAGTTTCAGAAAACAAGAGAAGTTGAGAGACATGACAGGGGATGAAGATTGGAGAAGAAATGCAGACACCCACAAGATGAGTCCTGAAGAAGTGAAGAAAGCGGGTGTGGAGGGGTCCAGGAGGCCACCAGGCCACCATCCTGGTGACGTGCTACACCAGAGACGCAGTCTACCGTTCAGCACCCCCATTATGGCAGCTGCCGGCTTTCTCATCGTTGCTACGGTTGGATACTTAACCTTATATGCTAAGAAAAAGCCTGAAGCTGACGCCCTTGATGTTGCCAGGGTGTCTGCTAATGTAGCGAGGCCAGAGGATACGCATCCTAGGAAGTAGTCTGTTTTGTAAGTTACAATATGTAATGGTGTTATAGTAGTTTGTTTCTCAACTCTATTTACTGTTCTGTTGGATATGCAAATGTTTCAAATCCGTAAGAGTACCCAAGAAGAGAGTTTCTAAAACTTGAATTTAAACCAATTCAAATACATTAAACATCTATAATATGATTCAAAATGAATATCAAAGAAGCTAAAAAGAATATAAGATTGTATAAAAACAGAATCGTCTCCGACCAAAAATGATCATGAAAGTTTACATCTGAAGGGCATAATCATACGTTACTTCTGAATCTCACCTTGAGATGGTGATCTGTATTGGAAGTGAAGAATAAGAACAGTCTAACCCTGTAGCTCCAGTAGCATCAATTAATCGATTTTCACCGATGAGTAAATGAGCCTAGTGAACCAAAAGCACGCATAGAAACCGATGGTACCGGTTAGGACAAAAAAGGCATAAGAAGCAATCAGCATGTATCCGAAGTATAGCACCCCAGAAACAAACTTGGTGATCTCAAGCTTTGTGAAGAAGTAGAATGTAGCATAAAGGAAGAGGTATAGTGCTGAGGAGCCAGAGGTGAGATATGACCTCCACCACCAAAGGTAGTCCTCGCTGCACAACTGGAAGTAGCAGAGCACGATGGTTATTTCAGCACAAGTAACAACGAGGATACAGAACACCAAGAAGAGGAAGCCGAAGATGTAGTAAAACTGATTCAGCCAGATTGAGGTGAGGATGAAGAAGAGTTCGATGAAAACAGCTCCAAATGGAAGGATTCCTCCGATTAGAATGGAGAAGATTGGGTTCATGTACCAGGCCTGCTCTGGGATTTGCCTTGGGATTTTATTTGTTTTCACAGGATCCTCAATTGCTGCCTTCTTGAAACCAACATAACCACCCACATATACAAGTGGGAGTGATATACCAAACCATAAGACAATCAAAGCAAACATTGTCCCAAATGGCACAGCTCCAGAAGATTTCTGGCCCCAAATGAGAGCATTCAAGACAAAGAAAATGGCAGAGACAATTCCAGGGAACGTGATTGCAGTTCTGAAAGCGGTTTTCTTCCAGTCAGATCCTTTGAACATTTTGTACAGACGAGCTGAGGCATAACCAGCAAAAAGGCCCATAAAGACCCAAAGAAGGAGCATGGCTGTCATGAGCCCACCTCGGTTTGAAGGGGAGAGGAAGCCAAGAATGGCAAAGATCATAGTAACAAGTAACATTCCAAAGAACTGAACACCTGTTCCAACATAGACGCACAGTAGATCAGAATTGCTGGGGGACCTGAAAACATCCCCATGGACAAGCTTCCATCCTGTCTCTTCTTGAGCTTCTTCCTGGGTCTCAAGTTCATTGTACTTAGAAATGTCACGGTATAGTGTCCGAAGCATTATCATAGCCACCATGCCCGAGAGGAAGAGAACAATCATCAAAGAATTGACAATAGAGAACCAGTGTATTTGGTCATCACTCATTAGAAGATATGCATCCCATCTTGATGCCCACTTCACATCACTCTCCTGTAAGGTAGATAGCAGGACAATAACAGATGAGAATATATAGATGTCAACTAGTTAGAAGCAGTCCATCGTTCTCTGCCACTGACACAGGAAAGATTTGACAAATAAAATTAAGCTCAGCAATCTTTTCGCCAGGATGGTCCAGACGAAATAAAAACACAGATTGCCTAACTCGTGAGGAGTGTTATGCGCCAAAATGTAATGCTCAAGTGACTGAGAAAAAAGAATTAATGCCAACAGTTAAAAAGTTCAACATGCAGGAACATACCTGGAACTCAACATCGTATGTGAATATAATTTCTTTGTTCTCTGCAACTTCTTGAGGAGAGTTGGAATTAACAACTGTGTGTTTGGCGTGAGGATCACATGTTGTTAAACGAACCTTGTCACTCCATTTCCCTTCATATTCATGTTTTACACTGCAAATTACAGGTAAATTATATATACATACTATCACCATAAGTATAAGTGGGAACAATAAACAACAAGAAAACTCAGAAGAACTGACCTGAATGGTTTAACCTCAAATCCCACAATTCTTGCAGAGTCGGTCTGCAAATCTTTGTGATACTTGACAGTAAATGCTAAGTGGTTGTGGATAAAATACTTTTCATCCTTGGTCTGTTTTAATCATAAGAAAGTAAGTAAAAGCAGAAAGTGGAGCATTAAACAGAAAAGGAAAAAGAAAAAGGAGCTTCAACGCTGATAAATAATGGATATACCCCAGTATATTGGCCTTTGAGACCAACATGAAAGCCAAGCTGATAAACAGTTGGAGATTCCTGATCTATCCGTCTTATGGGAACAACCAGAGGAAGATTATCAAGGATCCTGAAGTATGCATAACAGATTGTAAGAATAGCAACTTCAAAACATATCTCAATGAAATTAGAAACTACATTCAAATATCTAACTAAATAAATCCCATACATGTTGACACGATATTCATCATCAATCTTCTCCTTGAACTTCTTTGCGGTTTTGGCATCAAGCTTAATCCGACAAACAATATTGCACATTTGTGGTTCCCTCATTTTAAACTGCAAAATTTTGAATCAGCAAAAATGCCAATAACACTAAAATTATGCACTGTCTTAGACAATTATAGTGTCAGTAGAAACTAACCACATAAGGAGAGTTTTCAATGCGATCACCACGAAGTACTTCCCCAAGATTCTCTGCACTGTCCAATATTTGTTTTGGTTGACAGTACGGAAGGGAATAATAAGAGTAAGGAAGTTGGGTCTTTGTAGAGATCAATTTGTTCACTTTCACCTTCAACTCATCTCCCTGCACCGAAAAACGACTTTAATCACAGCCAATTCCCAATAAATTCTTATTGACACTAAGCAAATAGCAAGAATTCAGAATCTTGATTAAAAAAGATAATATTATATCAAGATGCTGATCCGCATTTTTTTCACTTCATCTAATCATCAAGGATCATTTCCAAACTTTTTCACTTACCTTCAATTACTTAGCAATAAATTTAGAAAGACAACATGCAAAATGACATTTTTGGCCGACATATAGATTCAGAGATGACACAAGACCCTCGTTCACCAACAACCAAAGCTCTTAAGTCATCTCAACTGTGCACTAAACGGAAAGAAATTTGCCCTAGAAAGACCTAGATATCACAAATTCAGCTAAGCTACCACAATATTTCATCATGCAACATCGAATCACATGCATGACAAAGAAAAAAAAAAAAAAAAAACAGTAAGTGACAACAAACTAGAACTCGTACAAATCTAAACCATTCACAACTAATTATCTATAATCAATCGATAGTTTTCACAAAAAAATATCAATAGATTCTTAGCTTACACTAACCACGAATCCATCAGCATTGAATCTGACAAACATTAAAATAAAATTAAAAAACGATTTCCATGCGAACAACCAAATCATCAATGATTAAAACAAATCGACAAGCTTTAATTCAAATCAGAAAATATCAAGAGAGAAATCAAATGCTGAAAGTTGACCTTGAGGAAATCTTCGGGAGCGACGCCCGGGAGGTAGAAACAGACGGAGCCATGGATGAGACTGAGAAGCAGAAGAACTGCAGCGATGGTCGTGGATCTTCTTCGAAAATCCATGGCGTTTGTTTGTTTGTTTCTAGAGAAAAGATATGGAAATTTTTTTCAGATCTGTTGTGTTTATAAAAGAAAGAAGAGAGCGAAGCAGGGGCTGGACTTGGACACTACATCGGCGAACCCCAGTCTCTCTCCTGTTCGATTTGAACTATTTGGTACGGTGAATTTTCATGATCTCCTCTGATTTTGCCACGTCTTCACTTTTTTAATCGTGTGGGTCCAGCTATTTAGCTAATCGGTCTTTTACGACAACATGAAAATCATTTATTTGTTACCTTTTTTGTTAATTGGTTTTATTATACATGTAAAATATTTTACGGTAGGTTCATTACTGATTTTAAAATCAGATTTATTTTATGCAATATTTAATATTTTATAGTATTTTTATTTGTCTTCAGGTCAAGTTTACGTGTATTACAACTAATTCTTCAAAACCTTAAAGTTAATAATCAAATAAACTCTTTAATAATTACTCTTATTAGAAATCGAAGGAAATTAAATTTAAGACATGCTAAATTATACGCTCAAGAGTTTTTATCGCTCTATCCGACCATCCAAGAATAGTTTTTATAGTATATTCATTATTGATTTCAAAATTAGGTTTATTTTACAAATTCTTTTAAAATAATTTTTATGATCAATTAAATGCTCTAGACTATTATAAAGTATTAAGTTAAGGATGATTTTTTTTATACTTTTATAGAAGTTTAAAATTTTAGGAGTATATAATATTTTTTTTCTTATTTAAATAAATCCTTTTAAATATAATCGAGGAGGTGTTATTATTATCGGTATATTGGGCCTAAACCAAGATAAGAGTTTAGGGTGCCAACCCATGTGCCAGTTTAGATTTAGTGGACTAAATTGGGCCATAGAAATCCAAACAGGCCCAACCAAATCGGGCTTGTAAACTTCTTCTAAATCTTGTCAATAACAAACTGTGTAGATCAATAATAATTTTATTTAAAAAATACAAATATATAATGATTCTTGATGCGAACTTCTTGAAATTTTTAACATACGGATCAAAGTCAAGTAATTAATCACTATTACTATCTTCACAAAATACAAAATTAAAGACATACAATTGTTCGCTCACCATTAGTTTCCGCATTAAAAACTTCAGTTCGGACTAGTGATTAGGAACCCGACCTAGCCTTGCTAGTTGAACCGGTTCAACCATGATTGGCGGCCTTTACCAAGTTGGGTTACAAAATTTTCAATTCATCCGAAACCCTAGAAAATTAGAACATCAATCCGTGAACAATTGAAGACTAGAATGTTAGGGCTTTTGAAGAGTATTGGCCAGTGAGTGGAATGGTGGCAACAATGTCGATTTTCGATGAGTGAATCGACCGGCAATCACAAAACAATGTCGCCTGAAAAAGCCTGTTATTGCCAATGATTAGGGAGACGAACAAGGGAGAGGTGAGATGAGTTTTGGTCAAGAGGCTGAGGGGAGTTTTTTCGTAATGATGGAGAGTGTTGTCGTGTAACGCCCACATTAAGATACATAGCTTTATTTATGTCCTAATACCTTTAGTTGAATCTTGTTAAAGTTATCTTGAACAAGTGTGAATGAAATTATTTAAAAACATTGTTAGGGTAAAATGGTCTTTTCACTCATAATTAGTTGAAAATGTGAGGAGTAAAAAGAGGTAGAAGTTCATGAAGAATGCAATGGAGATAAGGGCATTATTGTAATTGACTAAAGGGCAAATATGAAATTTTATAGAAAGTGCAACGATAAAATGGGAATCTATAAATATTATTTTATGATATTAAGAGCTGAAAATTACATGTCGTCGCCGGAAACATACCCTATTTGCCGATGCCAACAGCAGTGTTTGGGGTGTTTTTGCAAGATTTCAAATCTAGGGAGACTCACATGTAATTTCAAGGGTGATTTTGTTAAATTTCAAACCTTTAGCACCGGTTTATCCCGCCAATTAAACTCATTTAAACCGCTCGACCCTTGACCCGGTGGCTTGGTCGAGTCACTGCATGGGTCGAGTTTCTAATCACTGGTACGGACGATCACATCTAAAAATTTCTATATATATATATATGAAATTCAAGAAAGTTTTTCCTAGGTCAGACATGTATATACATCCAAATAACCACAAAGAATATATACCCTCAAAATATAAGTGCATGGTCCCTGCAGCCTGCTATGGTAAGTCAACTTCTGGATACTTGGTTGTTGTTGTTGTTGTTTGTGTAAAAGGAAGTCATGCTGAAAGATACTTTGAGAGGTGCATGAGATTAAAGTGTGATAGAATCAACACCGTACTGGCCGCTTAGTTGCTTTCATGATGGAGGCAGGACGGTAGGGTTTTTTGTTGGGATGTAAATGGTTATATCTGCACAAAAGGCGATGCCATGCATGCACGCTTTAGCTAGCTCTAGTAGAATTTTGCCTAAAAAACGATGGAGCTGGCTCAGCTATTGCCACACTTTTGCCTGCCCTGTCTCGGCATTGTTGGCATCATTAAGCTAGCTAGCTGCCACCACATCGTGCAGCTTAAAAGTGGTAATGACTTTGTATCAATTACCACCAAGACTTGAAATAAAGTAAATCATCATATTTTATTTACATGGAACTTAAAGCTTTGCCTTTTTTATGATGAGGCTATTGCCTAGACCAACTTCAAACCAAACTATAATCCCATTACAGACACAGTTCACTCCTATATATCTAGTCTCTGCTCATCATCATGCTCAAAATTGTTGATGCGGGAATCAAAACTAAGATAATGCGTCTATCTACACTATTCTTAATTGTCCGTAACCATTTGGAGTACCCATGCTCACTGTTATGCCTGAAAAAGTAGGGCTGACACCAAGCCTTGTTAGCGTGGACGGTCAGAGTTTGGATAAGGTTCTGCAGCGGTCCAGGCGTAGCCACGTTGCATGCTGACGTGAGCAATATGCTCCTACCAGTATAGTGGGTATGCGTCAGGCTGGTGAAAGGCTATAAATGTTCCACGTGTCCAATCCCTGCGCAAGTCGAGAAAATCTCTTGAGCAGGTGAATGACGGGACACAAAGAAGGATTTGCACAGCAGCTTGACCCACTCGCAAATTTAGCAATTATTACCTCAAATCATCTCACTATAAATAAAGGGCTCCTGTTTTATTTATGGGATTAGCTAATTTTTCTCAAAAACAGCATACATTCTCTCTCTCTCTCTCTCTCTCTCTCTCTCTCTCTCTTGTGTATTTACTTGTATTCTCTAGATTAGAAATCAGCTCGCTGAATGCGACCTGATGTCATACACTAATACAATATCAGTGGACAAAATTTGCTTGTTTAAGTATCTGAACCACTTTAAATATTGTTCTTCTCTTAATCAGTTTCATCCCCCCATATATTTGTGTGTCTTCTAAGTCAACTCAGCATTCCACACGTGTGAATAATTAGTGTCAAAATCAAACATCAACACTCACCCCATTTGATTTGTTACAGTTGAGTGTTCCCCAACTACGTTTACCTATACACTAGTTCGACTTACTCCTTAGGTGGTCGGATAATTTATCTCTCATAGTTTTTATTATTTGTACTTTTTCTTTTTCTTTTTTTTGATTTTGTTGATATGGGTATATTCCACAAATACATGATTGGTGTCAAAGAGAGAAATGGGGTATGAGTAAGTAGATAGTACAATCATGTCTAGCTTTAACAGCATAAAACCTGGAGAGAATCTAGAGTTTGTAAACCCAAAAACACCCACTACTCTTTGGAACTTATTCTAAAAACCCAATTAATTTACCCACACCGCCACCGCCACCAACACCAACACCAAGAGGTTAGGCATAAAGGGAGCTTACTTATTGGTCCCCTACTTTCCCCATAAATTGCCAACCAAAACTCCATCCACACTATCCCCCATTATAACACTCTTGGGACCCGCCCTCTCTTCTTCCCCCATATCATCATTTATTTTTGATGGCTTCTCCTCACGCCTATTCTTTTTCAACTATAGTCTTCACCCACTTTAAAATCATTCCCAAACATTTTGTTTAAAAACAATATGTACAAGTAAAAAGTTTTGATTGAAGCCTAAGTTAATGATTCTTTATTTTCTGGAGATCCAAAGGGAAAAAAGACTTATAAATGTGTATAGAGTAAAGACTGAAGTAGAGTTGAATGTTGTGATAATGGTGATAGAATTACAGGAATTTGGGGGTAAAGGTTGACAAGTAGTTGAATGGGACAATAATGAGGCAGCTGTAAAGGAGGAGGAACTTGGTGGTTGGAAAGGGAAAATGGTCCAACTTATATTTATCACCCAATTAAGATGAGTAACTGCACATATACAAACCAGGTCCCCCTCCTTTCCCCACTTCTCTGTACTGTATCCACCTACCTAGCTCTCTGGGACTGGGACCGGGAACCGGGATGACCAACCATGCTGCAATCCACTGCACACCGGCCTCCTTTATAGTTAACTGATCTTCACCTAGCTATCCATCCATATATATATTTTACTCTGTTGAATAATTAATTTAAGAGCTTCTTCTTGGCCATACATGCATGCACAGAAACTTAACATTTTCTCATTCCTGGGTTCTGGGTATTTATGTACTTCAGTTTCCAGTCTATTTAACTACTGCAATATGCCTGGAGGAATCCAGTTATTTTGTGTTTGATTATATATAACCTAATGCTGAAGATGGATGTTTCTCTCTCTGGTGGTCCCTTGAGTGAAAATTATAGGATAAGAAGTTGGCATCAATCAATCTTCATTATTAATGACTTAATGTGACTGTTTCTTAATCCATTCTAAAATGGTTTCAGCAGGATCTGAGTGTAAAAATGTCTTTTTTTTTTTTTTTTTATGGGGTTGTTCCAAATGAGGAGCTAGCACACATAAATTTTATATATATATAAAAGTTTTGCAGCAGGATATCCTGGATGTTTTATTCTGCTCAGATGCTCACATGTTCAATCAACTGCAAATTGCTAAAAGACTTGAAGATGAAGCCTTTTTCTGGGAATAATTTTTTATTTATAGTTCTTCTTCCTCTCTACAGATAGATAAATGTACTTGCTAATATTTTCTATATACTGCCTGCAATTGGATGGAACCCTACCTGCATCATTATGGCTTTCTATTAAATGACATATCTAATAGAGAAAGATCTTGATTCCAATTCTTCATAAATTTAAGAGTAATATTACGCCGACAATACTTTTTCACAAACTTTCTCTCATAATCTTGACGTGACAGTTCATAATTGGTCAATTCACAATTAATTAGTGGGACTCATGTAGGACCTATGTAAGACTCATTCTGAACCAACTAATTGAGAACTGTCATTTCAGAACGGTAAGAAAAAGTTTGTTGACGTAGTATTATTCTAAATTTATTTCATGCTGTGCTTTTTTATAGCTTATGGTAGGAATATGAAGCCCCTCAAATTTAATACCAATCACCCCTATGCACATCCTTTTTCTATTTTTTAAATATAAAATAAAATAAAATTCATGTTTCATATATTCTTATTCATATCAAAAGTACCCATAATTATATAAAATAAAATAAAAATGAAATACCCCTATTAGAGGGCTTTGATATTTTTATGTGGAGGTTGTTTGCACCGTCAAGTTGTATAATTTGGGAAGGCACAATTTTCTGAGGGACATTAGAAGTAACAATTTCCTTAAGAGAAGTTGCCACGGAGGTATTCAAAAAAATGTAAAAACCAAATTAAACTAGTAACCGAATTGGTTTTCCAAAAAATTGGTTTGGTTTCGGTTCAACGAAATACATGAACTGGAAATTCGAATTCAGTTACTAGTTTAAAGAGATTTTAAAACCGATTAACTGTAACTGCTTTATAAAATCGGTTTTCACTTTAAAATTAAAAAACCCTAAATCTCCAAATTATTTTCTCTTTAGTCTTCACCTTTTACAGATTTCTCCTCTTTTTTTTTTTTTTTCTTTTTTTTTGCACAAACACATACATTTCTCCCCCGTCGTCATCGATTTTCACTTTTTTCTTCCCTCTCAAAATAAAAGATAAGTTAAAATAGGAAAAAATCAAAATAAAAAATAAGTTAAACCGGTTAAGTCTTGATAGATAAGTTTATGTTATAAAAAATAAAAAAAAAAAGAAAAAATTAAATTAAATCCCTCATGTCTTTTTCGTCCCAATGTAGTTACAATTGGATTTAATTGGACCAATTAAATAATTAGCTAAAGGATAAATAATAATAAATATAGTCACATTTTAATTAATAAATATTTACACCTAGTTTTTTCCCTTATTATTTTAGCATAAATCCAGCTCACAATTTGTGATCATCAAAATCAATCAAAATCAGTCCATTCTTTAAATTAAATGGATATTTTCGAATGACTTAGATTGGATGATAAAAGATCACATTTGTCTTAATATAACTAAATAAATAAATTTACCAACTCAATACAACAAAAAAATCGAATAAAACTATGTGTACTAACCAATGTATACTAATTTAAGTATTAACATTAAAAATTTGAAATTCCCTCTAAAAAAAATTTTTAAATTTTCAATGTTAGTACTTGGATTAGTACACATTGGTTAGTGCACATAGTATTACTCAAAAAAATAAAAATAAAAATAAATTTAAAATATTAAAAATTATAATAAACATGATTTATTTAGTTGTCATATAATTTAATTTCGTAAATTATTATTCAACATTACTAAAATAAAAATTATCTTAATATATATCTTTAGAATACTAAGGTTTCAAATGATATAGTGTGCGTTTGGTTTATTATTTTGGGTAAGATTTTGGGGATAGTATTGGATAGTTAGATAGGGGAGTATTACGAGATAAAATTTAAAAATTTATGAAAAAGCCCTCAAGGTTTGCTAATTTAATAAACACCCCAATATATTAAAATATTGTAAAATGACAAAAACACCCCTACCACCCGCAGTGTCAGATTCCGGCCACCACCACCGGAATCTGGCTGCAAAATTGGATAACCACACATACCGATCGGATCTGGAGGGTATTCGATCGATATGACATTTTCCGGCCATATCCACCACGGATCTGGCCGGATGTGGCCTTCGACGGTTGGAAAAGGCCATCTTTTGGCCGTCAGCAACGGCCAAAGATATGGTCATAGCTGACTGTCAGATCTAGCCATTACCAGCCATTTTCGATGGTCGTGTGACTGCTGTGATAGATTCTGACTACCACCGGCAGTGGTTACCAGAATCTGGAATGTATTGGTGAGTGGAGGTGTTTTTGTTAGTTTTTAAACTTTTTTTTTGTGGGTATTTAATAAAATTAATAAACTTATGAGGTATAAAAGTAATTAAAAAATAGATTAATATTTTAGGAATAACGTGTCAAATAATATTTAAAGAATAGGATTGAGAATATGAATAAAAACAATAAGCCAAACACACGTATAACTATAAATTTTTAAAATAATTAAATTTTAAAGAGAAGGTATCTTTATTGGTTTGGTTTTTCTTAATATAGAAGCGAGTGTTACTATCTACACCCCCAGTCAGAAAGGCACATGAAGAAGAAGCGACAGCAGTACCGACCTTAGTTTGACACGTGGCTGACTATAACCGGGCAGTCAGAGAACCGTAAAATACAGGTGCAACAGCAGATCAGAGCCAACAGACTGGCGTAAAAAGGTCAAAAGACAATGTAACGCGTCAAACGGTAAGGAAACAGAAGCAAACTAAAAAGAGAAACCAAACCCAAAACGGAGAATAAAGATAAAAAGGAAGGGCAAAACGGGGAAAGAGAGGGGGGAAAAAAAAAAAAGTTGGCGTGCTTTAACGGCATAAAAGCAGAGCTTAAAAGTCCTCTGAGCCACCCTGTAACACACACAGTAGTAGTCCCCCTACTCTCTCTCCCCTAATCCCTATACACATTACATTACTGATTACACTACATAGTTGCATTTTCATAATTTCATTTACATACTTAGTTTCATATCATATCAGACCCACGAAGAAGCCACGAGGGCAAAGGGCTTTCATTTCTTGACAAGAGTGGTGTGTCAGAATAGGAAGATATAGATAGATGGGACGATTATGATGCATCACGTTGATTTGTTGAGATTCGCGTCAAAGGGAAGGGAAAGGAAGGGAGTTGAGTGAAGGAGGAGAGGAGAGAGAAGATCTTCAGCGGATCAGGGTGATTTAAAGCAAAGGCGGCGAGAATTTATGATTTGATGTGAGATATTGGTAAAGAGAGTGAGAGAGAGAGAGTTGTTTGTTTGTTCTCTTCTTCTTCTTCTCTTTCTGACGCTATTTCTTTTACTTTATAAATTACATATACATATTTTTTTTTTTCACTTGGGGGTTATTTGTTTTCATTTGTTCATTCCCTCTCCCTCGTAAAGCTTCGTTTTTCTTTGATAATTTAGCGTCATAAGTATTGTGTATTGTCATCATAAAGGCTTAAAATCGATGATGGGTTCGAGGAGGTGTGATAAGGGAGCTATATTTTGGTTTTGGAGTCCAGTCCCATGTTAGGATAGAGTATCATAGAGAGGGATAAGAGAGAAAAAAAAGAGAGAGGCCATTTGTGGTCTGGGTTCTTGATTTCTTCAACTGGGTTTGTCTCGGTTTGGTGATTAACGGAGAGAGAGTGTTGGAATCCGACAGCAAGGAAGAGACCTGATGGGTGGTTTCAGAGAAAGCAGGAGCCTTGTTGTTTGTATGCTTTTGTGAAGGTTTTTGCTGTAGTTTTCTAAAGAAATTTGTGAGGGAAATTTCGAGAAAAAATGAAGTTTATGAAGCTGGGTTCCAAGCCTGATGCCTTTCAAGCTGATGGCAGATGCATCAGGTCAGAAGCTTTACTCTTTTGATTTAACGTTCATTTCTGTTTGTTTCCAAAAAAAAAAAAAAACTTTTATCTGTTTGTTGTAGATGAACTTGAGCTTGTGTTTGTCATACATAGATGCATATATGTTCTTCTTTTTGGGTTAAATACTTTATTTATTATTATTCTTTTATGATATTTAGTTTTGCGTAAGGGTTTTGTGTGTTACTCGATGGAGATTTAACACTTCAATGATAGAAAATGAGAGCTTAACCTACTTCTACATTTCTTTTTTTTTCTGGAAATCATGATTGGTTTCTTAAATATTCTTTCTATTAGGTAACAAATTAACCACATGGGTGTTTTTGAAGAAATATGATTATTATAATTTGTATCATGATGGGTGAGAGTAAAGATGGATAAAAAAACGAAAAGAGAGAAGGGTATCTGAGGGGGTGGTCCAGTGGTTGAACTGTCTTCTTTTTGAGGAGAGTTTAGTGGTCCAAAATGTACTAAAGGCATAAAGGGTGGAGGAGTTTAATCATTATACTGTGAGTTTTTCCTATGTAAATAGTTGTTTATGTTCCACATACAGTTAACATTTCCTACTTTCAACAAGGAATTATCGCTGATCTTTAAACTAATCTTGGATTTAACACATTATCTATCTTACTGTTGAGATAGTAACGTTTGCATGTGGGATGGATGGTATTAACTATCACCTTGTTGAGTTGTCACAGGGACATTTTTAATAATGGAATGACCTCACCTCTTACATGTGCATTACCTTTCAAATGCATGTTAAGATGGTTGGTAGATTTAGAGTAAGCGCTGGGGTTTGTTGATTAGATTAGAGAATGTGGATATCTTTTAAGGTATGATATTTTATAGGTTGTTTACTGTAATTAAGTAGGTAAAATTCCACTGATATGGTTTTGCTATAAAGGACCTTAAGTTGTTAATTGTTCCTCATGTTAATGATAAGTGAGAAGATTATTGATCTTTGACTCTGTTATTTGGTGGTGGCAGATTAACAAGGGCTAGAACCATAGCTTTATTGACGTCATTAGAACTCAATTTTTTCTTTTTTGGTCCTTGCCTCTTAGAAACGTGTACAGAAGACCTGAGCTGTGGAGGAACTGACCTACCAGCAATTGGGCTAATTATTTGTTGCTAGAAAATTTTCAATCAGTGCCCCAGAACTAATATTTGGTTGAATCCTTGCTTTAAAAGAGATAAAAGTATAAATCATTTGTTGAATCTTTAATGTCTTAGTCTCATTTCATTGGATTGCAGAGTGCTCCGAGTTATTTAGCAAAAAGGTTAGATAAGTAAAATGTTTCAAATGAATCTCCTTTTACTTTATTAACATGTTGATAAGATAACGTATAGCTGCTTGGTGATGAGTTTGAAGTTGTCATGCTATGAATCATAGCCCATGTTTTGGATAATTGTGGGTTTTACTGATTTCTCACATTAGATGAAATGGTTTTGATAGGCTTATATCTCTCTTTTGTGCTTAGCATGTTTAATTTTCTCATGCAGGTATGTGACATCTGAACTGGCTACGGATGTTGTCGTAAATGTTGGTGAAGTGAAGTTCTATCTTCATAAGGTATAAATCCTCTTTGCACAGGTTGAATCTGGTAGAGGGTTGAGATTCTTTATGCTATCTTTCTAGCTAACTACTGCCTGTTAACTCTAATAATACAATTCAAGTGACAGTACTAAAGTATTATGCTCTGTTTCAAATTATTTTAATTTTTATATTCTCAGAAAGTTTTCCTTTCCTTCCGCCGCATGGTGTGCCCTGATTCATAAAATTGTTGCCTTTATATGCCTTTGCAGTTTCCACTCTTGTCTAAGAGCAATCGGTTGCAGAAACTAGTGCAGAAAGCCAGCGAGGAGATTTCTGATGAAATCAATATGGTTGATTTTCCTGGTGGGCCAAAAGCCTTTGAAATTTGTGCGAAATTCTGCTATGGAATGACTGTTACTCTCAATGCGTACAATGTTGTGGCTGCTCGTTGTGCAGCCGAATATCTTGAGATGACTGAGGATGTGGATCGAGGAAATTTAGTTTTTAAAATTGAGGTGTTTCTCAATTCCAGTATTTTCCGTAGCTGGAAAGATTCCATTATTGTTCTCCAAACCACTAGATCCCTTCTTCCGTGGTCTGAAGATCTAAAGATTGTTGGAAGATGTATAGATTCCATTGCATCTAAAACCTCTGTAGATCCTTCAAACATTACATGGTCCTACACATATAACCGGAAGTTATCAGTGACTGATAAAATAATTGAGGACCGTCTAAAGTTTGGGGAGAGAAATGATTCTGTTCCAAAGGATTGGTGGGTTGAAGATATATGTGAGCTGGAGATAGATCTCTACAAGCGACTCATGATTACTGTGAAATCTAAAGGAAGAATGGATGGTTCTGTGATCGGGGAGGCACTGAGGACCTATGCTGTTAGATGGTTGCCAGATTCGGTTGATGCTTTGATTTCTGATGCTCATTCCAGGAGGAACAAATTTCTGGTGGAAACAATTGTTTGCTTATTGCCATCAGACAAAGGAGTTGGTTGTTCTTGTAGTTTCTTGCTGAAACTGTTGAAAGTGGCCATCTTGGTTGGTGTGGATGATTCATCAAGGGAAGATCTGGTTAACAGGATCAGTTTAAAGTTTCATGAGGCTTCTGTTAAAGATTTATTAATCCCAGCACGGTCTCCTCAGACCACTTTTTATGATGTTGAACTGGTGTATTCCATTGTGAACCGATTTATGATGCAGGAAAAGTCAAGTCAGGGTTTGGATGTTGAGAGGAATGAGAAGGGAACTGATGATTTTGTTTTAGGGCATGGATCCTTGTTGGGTGTCGGTAAATTAGTTGATGGGTATCTCATGGAAATCGCACATGACCCAAATCTTTCTCTTTCCAGTTTCATTGACTTGTCACTGTCAATTCCTGATGCTGCAAGACCAATTCATGACGGACTGTACAAAGCCATTGACGAGTACATGAAGGTAAAGCTTTTGTACCTGAGCATTTATTTTGTGTATCTCAGTTGTTTTTGTTAAAACTCAATACAGACGTGATTCTAAACAGAAGAGAATATCTTTCTGTTAATTTCTTATGACCTTTTCCTCTTGTGAACGAGAATGTAACGAACAAAGAACATTACTGATAATGAAGTACTGGTTTATTAATATATCATCAGGAGCACCCAGGCTTGACAAAGGCGGAAAGAAAGAAGATATGTGGGCTGATGGATGTCAGAAAACTGACGATAGATGCATCTATGCACGCGGCACAGAACGAACGGCTGCCACTCCGAGTTGTGGTGCAAGTTCTCTTTTTTGAGCAGGTTAGAGCTGCTGCAGGGGTTCATGCCCCTAACAACAATCCCCGTGATGCTTCACACTCCACAACAAACACAGATGAAGAGTGGGAGAAAGCAGCAGTGGAAGATGACCGCAGATCCCTCAAGAAACAGATGAGTCGAATGAAGGTTAAAGACGAGGAATTCCAGAAGAATGGGAAATTAAGTAAGAAGAACAGCAAAAATAGCAAAAGCGTCGTGCAGTTGTTACCATCACGGTCAAGGAGAATATTTGATAAGTTGTGGGTTGTGGGTAAAGGGCATGGAGAGAACAGGAGCTCTGAGACATCTGGGAGTTCACAAAGCCCTACTTCATTGGCTCCTGGGGATACCAAGTCATCCGGTTCATCTTCAAGACACAGGAGGCACTCCATATCTTAGAGGAGAAGGATTTTGAGATTAATATGAGTTGAACAGGTGAAAAAGATTCAAAGAGTATTGTAAGTGTAAAAAGTGGGTAGGTTTTTGTTCTAGTTGATGGTGGTTTATCATTGTATCTTGCAAGCATTCCAAGAAGGGGTTCATCTGCAGAAATTTGTAATCAGTTTCATTTTGAGTGCCTTCTCTTTCTAACATCTCTTGACTCCCAAATGTTAGATTGTCTACTGTCTTATAACGCTACTTAACTAATGAGCAGTTGTCATGTTTCATTTATTCCTTTCATGTAGATGCGTTCATGACTGACTAAGTCCTTCTCACATTGGTAGAATTTGGTTCTTATAATGACTCTCGACTGTTTTGGTAAAAGAGTCGACAAAGTTTGGTAAATTTTAGTAACAAGACAACGAGGTTGACATTTGTTGTCTCCAAGGGGCGTGTAAAACTAATACAACAGCTTTGCCACAAATTTACCAAACTATTCTTACCACATAAACCAAACATTAGCAGCAGTATACGGCTTTATAAATGGGAAATACATCCTTTTGTTTTAGAACGATGAAGCAAATCTTTCCATCAATGTTGAAATAAAATTACTTAAAGAATTTCAAGGGACTACAGTCAAAACTTTTGGTCACGAATTCACGATCTAATGGTGGTTGTTACTTCTGTACAGTAACAATTTTGCAGGCTCTGTACAGTAACAAAATCCGGGGATAGCCGGATATCGCGTAAGTTAATGAGAAGCGGCTGCTCATAAAAGGGTCTAGTTCTGTTTTCGTTGACTTTCCATCTTCGACCCTTTGGTGATGGAGATTCGATTACGATAACCATTAGTATTATTACAAACCCGGTAACAAACAAACAAACGAACGCAGAGTTTGTGTATCAGAGAGATTACTGGTAAGAGATTCATGTAATTTAAGATGAAACCCGGACACATAATCAAGTTATCGTTTATTCTTTTTCTCTTGTTCAATATTTTTCTGCCAAGTGTCTCGTCGTCATCGTCGTCAAGAAGATGCAAAGCATGGGTGGTTCAATCGATACCCACCAACATGCCCCACCTGCGACGTGTCCCTGGCGTTCTCTCTACAGGTAAATAGAATCGAAGTTTTTCACTTTGTTTTGGTTCTTTATAATTTTAATTGCTATTTGTCATTGAGTTTTCATCTTGTATTTGTATCGTACAGGGAATGTGTTAAAGTGGATGGCTGGAAACTCTACGAAGAAACTAGATATAATAGCTCAGTACTGGCAACTGTTGGCTCACCCACATGATCCTCGCTCAGGAGATTATGGTTACTCTGATGAAGATATGGAAAGTTTTGGTGCACAGGAAGGTTCTGATGTTTACCAGGCCCTGGAGAATGCCGCTGACCAAAATGTCAGTATAAGGTAATACTTGAAATGTTGATGTGGCTTGTGGGATATGAAGCTTATCCATTGGTTGCAAGTTATAGACTAGCTGATAGTATGTAGCGTAGATATGAAATTATGAATATTAATGCTATCTGGGCTTAATTTGTGATTGGCATTTGGTCAGAGTGTGAATTTGGCCTTTCTTTTCTTCAGTTTCCTGGGAAATGGGAGCCTAGAGAAACTTCCATTCACTTTCCTATGTGTGCAAGCAAAATTATATTTGTGAATTTTGATTTGGTACTATAAAAAAGACCATTTTGTGTTGCTTGTGAATTCGATTACCTTTCCAGGTTATTGCAGCATTCAGGAGTGTATCCTGACTACACCACTGAACCATCAAACCTTGCTTCAGGTAGACCTAATGTGCAGAATGTGACCTTATTACTCAGTGATTGGTGGGGGTCAGGCATTGTCCACACTAAAGTTTGGATATCAGATCGCCGTGATGTGTATATTGGATCTGCTAACAATGACTGGAAATCTCTTACTCAGGTACACAGTATTCAATTTTTTGTTGTTTCATTCCTTTGATAATATATTTTGGAGGAAAGTCAACACATCGACTCCTGCATCTATCCAATTACTTCCATGTGGATGAGTCCACAAATCTGCTCCGTGGTAATGGTGTGGTATTGTGTCCTGACTCCTGATTATCAAATGGTTACAGGTGAAGGAAGTTGGAATTTATATTGTTGACTGTCCAAGAATAGCCAGAAAGGTTGAGGCCTACTTTGATAACCTATGGAAGCTTGGATCTCTTAATTCTTCAGCTTACACAAGAACTGTATCAGACCAACAGTGGCAGATTAATAGAACAGTTCCCTGCTGGTCTCATTTTCTCAATTCTAAAGATAGGTGCAGGTATGTGAATGAGTTCGTTTGAAAGCCTGGTCTCCTTAATCTTGAGCTGCTGTTATTCTTTTACAATGTGAAAATAGTTTGACAATTCAGTTAAAATTTAATTATATCATTACAGGTCACCTCTTCCTAGATCTGTGGATGTTCCGCATGTAGATGGCTACCCAATACTGTCAGATCCTTACATGTTTGAAATGCAAATTGACACTCCTGGACGCAATTATTCAACTTTACAGCCTCAACCTAGTTATCTCTCATTTGCTCCACCAGAGGTAATTGGACAACAATATTTTTCAGATACTCACCACAAAATCCAAAGTGTTATTTACATTTATACACAAACAATTATGTGCAGATACAAAACAATCTTGATGCGTATAGTGAAAATTTGAAGCAGTATCTTGAACTTGGATGTTCATTTTGTTTTTTAGAGGCTTTATGGCATTGCATTTAGAACAGCAATAATCCTCAACTATATATGCTTATAAAAATCATTTTGAATAGTAAGCAAAAAAGAACATGGAAGAGAAACCATGTCTCAAAGCTCTAGGAAAATAGAAATGATGTGTGTTTATTTCAAGCAATTTGCTGATTCCTCTAGCTACAATTGATGGATGAGGCTTTTGTCAGACCATCCAAATGAGATAGGGAACCCATGCAGTTGGAATGCGCTAATATTTATTATCTATATGTTTTATATTTTACCCATTATGATGCTAATTTTGGTCTGCAGCTTTCATTTGGCAGATATCAGGCTGATGAACAAGCTTGGGTGGATACAATTAAATCTGTAGGAAATGGGGCAACCCTTAGAATTAGTACAATGGACTGGCTTGGTCAATCACAATATATGAAGCAAACAGTTTATTGGTCATCCCTTTCCTCTGCAATATCACAGGTAACTACTGGTATCATTGCTTTTCCAAGCTCACTCAAAAAAGTATCAATGAAGATACAACGCTTTTTTTCTTTCTATTCCTTCAAAATAATACATTTTTGTCTCTCTGTTAAGAGAATTTCCAAATTCTGAAGTTTTTTTTATTCCAATGATGACCATGAATAACAGGTTGTCTTCTCTAAGCATGTAAAAGTGAAGATTTTGGTAGCATATTGGGCGCATTTTATCAACAACACAGATCAATATCTGAAACATCTTCTTTACTCCAATGTCCTTTGCTCTTCTTCAAAGTACAACAAATGTTCTGGGAAAGTTGCGATCAAGTACTATAAGGTACCCGGTTACAACTTGACAGGACCTGCTATTCACAAGGGAACCAATACCGGAAATATCTATCCGGGGTTTTCCCGAGTGAACCATGGAAAATATGCAGTTAGCGATGTGCGAGCTCATATTAGTACCAGCAATCTTGTCTGGGATTACTTCTATACAACAGCTGGTGTCAGCTTTGGAACATACAGTCCTGCCATTGTTGCACAACTACAAGAAGTTTTCGATGCTGACTGGAACTCGCAGTATGCTGTTCCAGTCGAAGAATTGGGTGAAGTTCATGTGTATGCTAGCTGATGAAATGCTTGATGTTGTTGAAGCTGGCCAGTTCAGTGAAAGCAATCTATTGTAATGGTAAACTGTACATGAAAGAACTGACTGCATTGTACTTGCTTGAATTGATGATTCTTAAAGCTGAAAATGTCATGTTAAAAATACTACAATAGTGGGGATTTTTATCAAAATTGATGGCTTTTAATATTCTAAGATGTTATTTTGTTCAAATCAAACATTTAACCTAAAAAAAAATAAAAAAAAAAATTGAAAAATGTTATGCTAGTCTGATTGTTAATCTTTAATTAAATTATACCCAATTGAAATATTAAGGATTAATAATGTAATTTAATAAAGCAAATTTCACAGTTAATTATCCACTGGGGGTGCGTTCGGTGTGTCGTTCTTGCACTGGATTGGACTGAATATTTTGGAGTCCGTTTATTTTAGTATTTTGGATAGGATTTTGGGAATAATATTTGATGGTTGAATAAGAAAGTATTACGAGATAAAATTTAAAAATTTACAAAAAAAACCCTAGGTTTGTTAATTTAACTGAACACCTCAATTTATAAAAATTTTGTAAAATGACAAAAACACCCTCACCCACCACAGTGCCAGATTCCGGCAACCACTGCGCGGAATCTGGCCAGAAAATGGCATTACGACGCAAACCGGTCAGATCTGGCGGGTAGGGCATCGATATGGCCTTTTTTGGTTAGATCCATCACAGATCTGGCCGTTGTTGTTGGTCAACGATGGCGATTTCTTTGGCCATTGATGACGGCCAGATCTGTGAATTAACGGCCAGTTCCGGTTGTTAATTTACCGTTGTGACAGATTCCAGCTACCACCGACGGTGGTTGCTGGAATCTGGCAAGTATGGGTGGGTGGAGGTGTTTTTGTTAATTTTTAAACTTTTTTTTTTGGTATTTAATGAAATTAATAAACTTAAGAAGTCTAAAAGTAATTAAAAATATATACTAATATTTCTCAAATAATGTACCAAACAATATTTCGAGAATAAGATTGGGAATATGGATAAAAATAATGTACCAAACGCACCCTTGTTGTATTTGCATTGGTGTGAATTGGATAATAATGAAATGGATTAAATGTAATATTGTGACGTATTTGACATAACATCATACTAAATATATAATTTTTCTATAAAAATATTGTTATGTAAAAATTATCTTATTGAAATACATATTTTTTTAAATTAAATAAAACTTTTGAAAATAAAATGATATATTATATTAATTATTATTCAATTAAAATTGTTTTTGTTAAAAAAAAAAAAAAAAAGAAGTTGAATCATGAATAGAAATGTCTAAATAAACAGTCCTGAGTAAACCCAAGGTTGGGTGGGACTATTTTTAAAAAATTAGTACTGCTTTTTAATACAGTTCATTCCATCCAAAATTGCAACCAAACGCGACTAAGAAAAACAAAGGGTGGGTTTGGTGTAGTATTTTGGATAGGATTTTGAGGATAGTATTGGATTGTTGGATAGGGGAGTATTACGAGTTAAATTTGAAAAATTTATGAAAAAGCCCTTAGGTTTACTAATTTAATTAAAGACCCTACTATATAAAATGACAAAAACACTCCCACCACCTACAGTGTCAGATTCCGGTCGCCACCGCCGGAATCTGACCGGAAAATTTCGTTACGGCACAGACCGATCGGATCTGTGCCGTAACGCATCATTATGGCCTTTTCCGGCCAGATCCACCACGGATATGGCCGGAAAAGGCCAGATCTACGGCCTGTTATGGCCGTCGATGGCCGGAAAGGCCAAAACGACGGCCAAAGATGTGGCCGTCGTTTTTGGTCAACGACAGCCATTTNTTATGCTAGTCTGATTGTTAATCTTTAATTAAATTATACCCAATTGAAATATTAAGGATTAATAATGTAATTTAATAAAGCAAATTTCACAGTTATTTATCCATTGGGGACTATTTTTAAAAAATTAGTACAGCTTTTTAATACAATTCATTCCATCCAAAATTGCAACCAAACACGACTAAAAGTAAAAGAAAAAAAAAAGGCACCCTACATGTACAATTTTGGGAACCCACTTTTAGGCCCAAACAAAACCCTATGAACTAAACAGTGCAACTAAAGTTGACCAGATGGTCAGCAGATCGAACGGCTGAGATGGCCCGTATAGAGCAGAAACGCCATAACTGGTACTAGCTTGAGAGTATTTTTTGATATACTGGACTCTGTTGTTAACTGTGAAGAGCAAAAACAAAGCGTCGTCTTCACCATCCATCATAGGAAACATAGAAGAAAAAGATGCAGAGAATGAAAGCTTTGTTAAGAGCAAGACATTCATTCACTCGGAAAGTTGGGTTTTTCAGGAGCTTTTCTGCTTTACCAGACTATGTACCAAATAATAATCTTCAAGACCAGGTTGCCTTTACGTGTTAAAGCTTCATTCTTTAAATCTTTCTATTGTTTTTTCGGGTTAGTAATTGTAACTCTATGATTATTTCAGGTGTTAGTTGAAGGAAAAGCTAACTCAAGAGCGGCCATTCTTAATAGACCCTCTGCTCTCAATGCTCTTAATACTTCTATGGTATTTTTATTTTTTTATTTTTGGACTTGTGGGTTTTTGGTTTGGCGATGTTTTGGTTCATACCCATGTAGTAAATTTGTTGATTAGTTGAAGTTTGTTTGTTGAATTTATTTAAAGGTGGCTCGGCTGAAGAGATTGTATGAATCATGGGAAGAAAACCCAGATATTGGATTTGTATTAATGAAGGTACAATATTCTTTTACACACATAGGCTCATTGTTTTTCTTTTCTGTTTTTATTTTTCTGGCATTCTTTATAGCTTGTTAAATGCTTTTGTGCGGTTTCAAGGAGTTGGGTACCAATTTGATAAACTTTTTGAAATGTAGTTCTGAATGTCTGTGTTAGGTTCATTTACTTTTTGTGGAGATGCTCATGTTTTTTGCTTCTACTTTGGTAATTTGTTGGTGTCTAAGCTGCTGTCTTTAATTTTTTGAAGGGTAGTGGCAGGGCGTTCTGCTCTGGTGCTGATGTTGTTGCACTTTATCAGTTGCTTAATGAAGGTGAATCACTTTTTCAATCTTCTCTGATAGTTAGAATCAAAGTTTTGAACTTTTTGATTTGATGTAGCTACCAAAGAATGTTTCATTTTAATCACCCTCTTCCTCATGAACAATATTAAATTTTTTTTTATATACAAGGATTCAGCAAAAAGTATGCAATCATGCACATACTTGTCAATGTTCAACTATTTTGATATTGACTACTCAAGTCTTCCATTTTGGATTCCAACATCTAACACAATTTGTTTTAGGTTCTCTTGTTTTCTTTTTCGTGGGATAATACTTTTGTCAATTTGCCTGACAAGTTGCTGATTGTTTTGATTATTGCAGGGAGAGTTGAAGACTTTAAAAGCTTTTTTGAGACGCTATATAAGTTTGTTTACCTTCAAGGAACGTATTTTAAGCCGCATGTGAGAATTGAACTCTTTTGTAGATTTTTGTATTGAGATTTTAGATTAGTTTAATGCTTGGGGTTTAGTACATATCTGATTTGCATGGGAAAATGGCCACTTTTTATTCTTGTCTTCTTACTTGAAGTCCTTGTTCCTTTTCTCATATGAGTTATTCAAAGCTGTTATCACTGTTTAAACTGACCATTTAATTAATATACGTACAGGTGGCTATATCGGATGGTATCACAATGGGATGTGGAGCTGGAATTTCACTCCAAGGGATGTTTCGTGTAGTAACCGATAAAACTGTATGTGACTCGTTCTATACCTTAGTAATCGGCTTTGACTAAAGGTTTTTTATTTGATCCTTGATGGTTTTATCCTTTTTTTATTATGAATGGAATAAATTTATGTGAAATAGTATATTACACGAGGATTTCTTCTTCTGCTAATGACAAACTAATTTCTGTGTTTCAAATGATGCAATTTTAGATCCTCAGGCATCTACTCAATTTTAGTTCCTTGTCACTTTTGAAATTATGGGTCCTCGTTGACATTCACATAAATTTGTAATTAGTGCACATCACTATTAAAAACCTGTTCCATTTAGTATATTTTTATTCATGTGCAATCATTTTGTTTAATGTATTCACAGAAGAAATTTATTTATTGTGCATAAAATTTTCAGGTTTTAGCTCATCCAGAAACTCAAATGGGGTTCCATCCTGATGCAGGGGCTTCATTTTATCTGTCTCGGCTACCTGGTTATTTAGGTAACATCCATCTTGTTCTGTTTAAAGTATGTTATTGCTTTCAAAATTGCTGCTGACGTACTATGATATATGTCTCTTGTTCTAGTAAACCCAGTGAGAGTGACTTGCAAGTTTGGGCTATGCTTTTTTCAGGGGAATATTTAGCACTAACCGGAGAAAAGCTAAATGGTATAGAAATGATTGCTTCTGGTCTTGCAACCCACTATATATTAAATGCTGTTAGTGCTCTCTGCACCTTGTTCTACACTCTGTTTCTTTCCTTTTCCCTCTTAATATTGCTGCCAATAATTATGGACTCTCCCTGACAGAGACTTACTTTGATTGAGGACCGCCTTGGTAAATTGAGTACAGATGTTCCTTCTGTCATAGAAAATTCTCTTGCTCAATATGGTGACCTCGTCTATCCAGATAGAGAGAGTGTTCTTCACAAGTAATGTTCCATTATGTTTTTCTTTGTTATGCCACCTGCTTTTTATAGCATTTATATATCATCTTTTAGGGAAAAAAAAAAATCAGTTTTTTTTTTTTTTCTTTGGGATTATGATCTGCGTAACAGAATAAAATTTTCATGCAATTCTTAAATTGTTATGATTTGGTATGATTTCCAGAAGCAACAGTAGATAAGAGTAGAACTCCCTGAGGCTGTATTAATTGAGGCAAGAGCAGTACCTTAAAGTGTAAAACATGCTTTTCCCTTTAGAGGACTAGCACTGCTCCATTAGTGATTTATCTTCCCTCAGAACACTTTGGTGATTGCAAGTGCTTAGAATGCTATAGTTGATGACCAAAAAGAAAAAGTGAAGATCATGATTGATAATTTTTATATATATTCACCACTTTCTCTTCTTACTTGGTTTCAGGATTGAAACAATTGATAAATGTTTTAGCCATGACACAGTTGAGGAAATTTTTTATGCTCTGGTACGTTTTATTAATTTATCCTCTTTCTGTGTTTATTGTTGAAATAAACCGCATAAAGTATGAATAAACTGAAAACTGATTTATGGATCTGAAATAATATTTGAAAACTAGTAATGTCTTCACCTAGTAGAGTTTGTCAGATTAATAGGTTGAATCTGACATTTCACCATTGAACATTTGTAATTTCCTTGTTCTAGCAATCTGATGAAGTTGCTAGTGAAAGAGAGGTTAAATCGGACTTTTTTTTTTTTTTTTTTTTGGTCTGGTGGAATCCAAATAGTCACATGCTGTATTCTGTGTCTGGCCAAAATAACTAGAAGTTTTGTCCTCTTAGTTGGAGCTGGGATAATTTTGTCATTATGATAAAACCAACAGAAGCCCTTTCATAATGGTGCAGGGAACGTTCTATATTGAACGCTTAAAGCATATGCATGTCTTACTTTCCCTCATTTCTGACCCCAAAAATTGCTAAGTTTTTTTTCTTTTTCGGGTATCGATGTACTTATGCAATTAGTTGAAAAACGGCAGTCTCTTTTAATGTCTAAGGGCTATCGTCGTTTGTTTCACAACAATAATAATCTCTATTGAGAAATTTATATCTGATCCATTGAGATTGAGAATTTTTTTTGCTCATTTCTTATCTCTGATGTGCTCAGGAAAATGAGGCAGCCTCCTCGTATGACGAATGGTGTACTAAAACCCTCAAAAAAATGAAAGAAGCGTCCCCATTGAGCTTGAAAGTTACTTTACAATCTGTAAGGCTACTTCCTTACATCCTTGGTTTCAGTTTGGAATACTACCAGCTTGGCTAAGTTTCTTTTGCTTGCCTTTAGATACGAGAAGGTAGATTCCAATCTCTTGATCAGTGTCTGGCACGTGAATATCGGATTACTGTCAATAGCATCTCCAAAAAGATCTCTAATGACTTCTGTGAGGTATAGACATTTTAATAATTCAGCATAGCGAACATTCTTTTAAATCTATGCTGATGTTATCACTATCATTCATTTGTTGATAGGGTGTTCGAGCACGATTAGTGGATAGAGATTTTGCTCCAAAGGTACAATCTGTTGCCTAAAACTCTTATGTTAACTTTATTTTTATTTTAATTAAAAGGTGCTTAAAGAGATTATGTATTGGTTTGGAATTGTAAATATGCAGTGGGATCCTCCAAGTTTAGGAGATGTAAGTAAAGATATGGTTGACTGCCATTTCTCCCCTTTTAATGAATTGGAGCCAGAACTGGAGCTTCCAACAGCAACGCGAGAACCTTATTTCTGAGATAGATTACACAAGGATTGATCCGTTCTTCCATTTTACAATTTATGATCTTCCATATTTGATTTTTGAATATAAATCTGTTGTAAGTGCCTAGTAGCTAAATGTGTTTAGAAAGTAGGCTCCTTGTGATGCTGAATATGATGAGCACTTAGATAATTTATATCGCAACTTTTGACCAACCCCTTTCAAATTTTTGTTTATGGATTTTGGAGTCCAAATTTCTGTTTATATTCTTAATACAGACCATAAGGCCCGAGTGAAACAACCACAGATAATAAACAGAAATAATACCTAAATTTTATGTTCTAATTTTTAAATTTCAATTTAAATATGCATCTTCGTAATATGCCGGAAGGCGAGATTTTTAAGGAGAATAAAATGAAAATTACCTCAAATTCCTAGAATTAAAGCTTCCGAAAACAAAGGCAAGTTAATTGAGGATTTCATGAACCTAACGACTCTATCCTCAGCCATTTTGGTCAAAGAATCATGTGATGTGACATCCTAGAAACAAATTCAAATCCAACAGAGGCAAAAAAACCCCTTACGAAATAGAGGGATTTCAAACCTTCTAAAATTCCTGGTGAAGTCAGATAGCCAATAGTCTTGACACATCAAACTTGGCCTCATAAGAGTCATTAACCCAACTGTTGTCTTTTAAAGATTCACAAAATGATTTTATTTACACCAAAAATATACAAAGACCTAAAGTTAAATGAAATAAGTTCCATAAGAACATTTTAGACAGCCAACTGGGTATCTCCTTAAAAGCTCTAACAGTATTCTGTTTCAAACTTCAAATTGATACCCATGCTAAAAAGCTCCTGGCGCAATAACTTGGCGCCATAAGGCACATTTGCCTTGATAATGTCATCGACAGATTCACATAATCGGCAGTATGGCCCCCTGATCTTGCGTCCACCACTCACTGTCCGTTGGATCACGTTTGCCACATTCTTGCATTTACGGCAAATGTGCACCTCAGAGCAATCACTCAGTGTAAAAAGCCGTTCATGCAAGTTGGCTGATGCTCCATGAGCTATAAGGCAGTCACGTTCCATCTCACCGAACTTGATCCCACCATACCGTTTCCTGTCTGCAACTGGCTGTCGAGTGAGCGGGTGGACTGGTCCAATGTTCCGGAATTTCACTTTGTCTTCTGCCATGTGAATCAGTCTCTGGTAGAACGTAGGGCCCATAAATATAAGTGAATTAAACATTGCACCAGTTCGGCCACTGTACACTCTCTCTGATCCCCATTTCTCGAATCCAACCCTGCTCCAAAGATTCAACAATTATGATTCAGTAAATGACCATTCCATATTAAAAAACAGAAGCACATACTTGAATGGGAAACAATTCCTGAGCCATAAATACGGGATTGGTGAACACAAACACACAAATGATGGGCCAGCAATTAAATCGAGTTCGAAGCACAAAATATAAAAACAACCAAAATCCTGTCACGGGTAGAGCTTGGTTGCCGAGTTTCATGATGCATGCATACTCAACCCCCTAAACTTGAAAAGTACCTTGACAATATCTTATTTCTGAAGTGACCACATGAGATAGGAATCCGAAGAAAAGACATGCATAGTTCAGTAGAAGTGTAACAATAAATACTCAGACACAACATAGTAACCTGTGGAGCTGCTCCGTGATGGCTTCAACAGATGGAGTGGAGAAAGGTGTGGCATATCTCAACAAACCACCACAGGCAATCCCCTTCCCTAAAGCAGCCTCCAAGAGTTGACCAGGAGTTTGCCGTGAAGGAAACGCATGTGGGTTTATAACAATATCTGGGACAATTCCTTGTATTGTGAAAGGGAAATTTTCTTGGGATTCCAGAAAACCTAAAACACCTTTTTGCCCATGCATGCTCGAGAACTTGTCTCCAAGACGTGGAGATCGAACCTGCATTACAAAGTCAACAAATACTAATATTATAATAAAGACCATAACTCTCTAAAGAGAATTCATAAACTACAAGACCATCCCAATAGTGTAATCCTATAACCATTATACCCACATTTAAGAAAAGACAGCAGCGCATCTAAATGCTATCTTGCATTCTACATGATTTTTAGCTTGCCATCATACACTGAATGTTATCTTCTATATGGACAAATTATAAACAGAACATAGTTACACACTCATATTCAAAGGTCCAGTAAAATGTGCATTCACATTCATGTCCGTGTAAATAGTGATACAGTTGAAATACCATGGCCAACTTACCTGTCTCAAAGATACCACAGCAAAGTTCTTCCCATCATCGTTAGAAGAAAGAACAACTTTCTGTACCATGCCTCTTTCTGTGTGCTTTAGTTTTATGCTGTGATCCCCAGAATCGGCATACCTCCCTATAACAATGTCACCACTCTGGAGGTTAGCCCCAATGAAAGGAAAACCATCATCATCAAGGCAATCAACACGTCCTCTTGTACTTTGCATCTTTCCAAAATTCATAATATTATCAGAGATCCTTTTCTTTCCCATTGTTTCTTTGTTATCAACCTCAGCCTTGTAACTTCTGATGTGCTCAGATCGAAACATACCACGTTCCATAGATGCTTGGTTCATCACCAAAGAATCCTCTTGGTTGTATCCCAGATGAATATTGACAGCTACGATGGCATTCTGTCCATTGTAGAGCTCTGGTCTTGGCAGTATTCCATTATGCCCATAACCAGGTTTACCAAGACAATCAGAAGTCATTGTCCGAAATAGAGGCCTTTGTGGATAATACAGCTGATGGGACAGCGTATCCACTCGTATGTTTGGATTTGTTGTGGGAAAACCAATAGCCTGTGAAGAATGTTTCTGTGCTTGATATAAAACCCTTCTTGCATGGTCATGGTTGGCAAATGGGATAATTCCACAACTCAAACCTAACAAGAATGACATATCAAGTTCACAGTGAGTGAACTTCACAGGTTTCTTTTCTTTCACATCCTTCAGAATGTATTTAATACCCCATGCAGTGAAACAATCCTCTTCTTCTTCAGTTCCAACAAGCTCGATAATACCCATGTCTAGAAGAGATTGGAAGTTGTAATTCTTTCCTTTAATTGAGTTAATTCTGCCCAAATTCTCCACAACCAAAAGAGGGCGCAATATCCTCCCAGCATCAGAAAATATTCTTACTTCACCTAGCTGTTCATCTCTTTTTATTTCAATCTACAAGAGAAAATTGATACTATATAGGTCAAGAAAGTAACAAAATTAACCCAGATAAACAAAAGGAACATACACTGCACATCACAACAATCCCTCTGTTAAGAGAGACAAAGATGAGCAAATAATGAAAATTCAAAGCTTCAGGCCTTAAAGAATATTATGAATAGATAGAAAAGATAAATATTCCATGTTCATTCCAATATGATTCTTAAAAGTAAACCAGCATCAATAGAGAGAATCAACATTTACAAGAAACTAGAGTCCTTGTCTGAAATTAAACAATTAGACAACTGACATATATATTTCGAGGAATCTAGTACTGTTAAATAGACAACAGTTAAAAGCTCAATTTCAACTTCTTCTGCAATTTAAGTATTAGTTCATATAATATAGGGTTTGTTATTAATAGAGGAACATATAAGACCATTAAGTGAGAGCTATCTTCATCCAAAAATCCTCGTCCAATGAACTTACATTATTAAACAAGCAACAATATCTCCTAGTACAGAAAAAAAATCCTGCAAAATTGTAAGCAAGTACAGACTACACTGAACCAAAATTCATTCATTAACAGTTTATCAAAAGAAGGTCCACATTAGAGCTTAAGATCTTTAGATGATGTCACCCAAAATTTTGAACAATAATAGCAAATTATTCTTGGTTGAAAGAAGAATGAGTTCTAGGTGAACATTATGAATATAGCATAGTAACACTTCATGTAAATCAATTTTTCCCATCATGGTTCAGTCTATTGGCCACAAGGACAGCACAGAAAGACATGGGTAACATCATTAATAAATATAGTTTACAATTTAAAAGCCTTTTGAGATGAAATTGAGAGAACCTGATTTGGAAACTCTCTCTGTCGTCGCTTACTTCTTAGCTCAGCAACAAACGAAAGGGAATCCTTACAAACTCCAACCCAGTCCCCATTAACAAAGATTTTATCCATTCCTTCCAGTGAAGTAGTAGTATCATCTACCAGTTCCTCCATTCCACAATCAAACAATTGATCAACTATTGGTTCCCGTATGTCTGTACTTACAAGTCCGGTAACAGCCAAATTTTTGACAAGCCCACAATTTTCACCATCTGGCGTAGACAGAAAGCAAACCTTACCCCAATGAGAAGGATGCCTGCATCAAGAAAATTATATTACAGAGTTAGTAGCTTCCCCACACACATCTCAACCACTAATAACAGTCAAAATGATTCAGTAATCCAAGGACCAAATAAGGAAATAAAACAGCATGTATGCTTTTTCTTGCCATCCTTCAGGTCCAAATGTATATATTTTTTAAATCAATAATGAAAGGACTACGAACAATAAAAGTCAAGAAACTGCTGATTGCAATTTTAAATCGCTTTATAGGTCATGTCCGGAGACCTGACACTATCACATTAACTTTTTAGAAGAGCCATCCATCTTTCCAAAAATAACATAGGTGAATTAAAGAGCAAATAACAAGCAATAACAAAATTTTACACAAATATCTATAAATGGCTTCATACACAAATGTATACCACCATGATGCTGACATAAAATTGAAGGTAGCCTTCCATACCAGATCCATGTAGAAGCAAGGGGCAGTTAAAATCATTTCAGCCTATTACAGCTAACAGCATCTCCAGTTCAATAGTCAAGGCACACAAGAATAACCATGCAAGCTTCAGCATATATCACAAATGACAACTATGTCTAGAGTTAATGCATGTGTGTGTATTTGGTTCTTCGTGTTTATACCTATTGAAGAATATTATCAAGGAAAACAAGACATAACAATATGCAACTATAAATTCAAAATAACTTACGGGTATCTGGCATCTCCAACCTTCCCAGTGTACTGAACTTGCTGTCTTGTTCTCCTCAAATCAACCATAGTCTGCAAGGCATTTGTACGGCCAAGTGTTGCCACAACACCAGAGATCCTTTCCATTCGCTTAAAGGGATGTGACCATGCTCCAGTGGAGAACGCTCTGGAAAGACCATTGGTAACTATGGACG